AGCCACCATCCAGCCCACACCTGAAGTTCTGAACCTGGATGACTTGGAGCAGGATGGCTGCACCTCTAGGAGAACAGACACAGGAAGAAGAAAAGATGGCCAAGGAGCAAGTCAGGGTTGCCACTGTGAGGTTGCAGTTGTTTTGATGCAAAGAGACAAATGTTTAATTATCACTTCATCAGTATTTTTCAATTTCCTGAATTATTTAGAAAGTATTCCAGCCAACAGGAAGTTGAAAACTGGCTTTAGCTCTCCAGAAGTCAGGACTCTATCTACCCCACTGCCCAACCCAGTACCTTTGACATAGGTAGTCAGTAAATATTTGTTAAATAAAAGGAGGTTGTTTGCATTGAAGTAAGCAAAAACTGAACAAGAGGACTCTGACAAAACAGTTGAATAGGTTCATGGTTCTTCATGTGCAGCCCTTAGAACCTCTGCATTAGGATTGTTCGAATTACTTGCTAAAATGCAAGCTGCTAGGCCATGTTCTAGATATAGCAAATTAAAATCCTGGGTGTCAGTCTCAGCATGTTATTTCATGAAGTGCCTCTAGTGGGTTTCAATGTGTTCAAGTTAAAAGAAATAGTCTTTAGAGGGCAGGGAAAAGAAGATCAAACCCAGAGGAAAAAAGCATATCTTTAGGGGACAAAGCTTTTCAACATTTCAATGCCATTTGCACTTAGAAAACATGTGCATGTGTACCTGGGAGAAGATGGGAGCTAGATGTTACCAGCTCCACTTGGCCTCACTGGTTACCCAAGGCTGAGTATCAGTGTTTTGATATCCAGTAACCTAAATGTGACACTCAGAAGCTCTAGAAGCACAAGAAGTTAGAAAAAACAGTCGAAGAAGAACTTCTGTGTTTTATCCATCAAGGCTCAAAACAGTACACTGTTCCCATTGCTGATATTCAAGGAGAAAGAGAAATGACTTTTGGGTTTCCATATCTGGGTGGGCAAGGGAGTCCTTGCAGTTACAGTGCACAGGTGCAGGAAGCAAGAGGTGTTTGTGAAAAACAGGGTAAAGAAGCCACAAGGAAGTAGGAGGCACGTACCAAAGGTACATGCCAAAGGAAGGAAGAGAAGAGCTCAAAGAGTGTCTGGGAAGGGCAAGAAGGAAGGAAAGAATGGAGAAGGCTTTGCTTGCTAGATTAAAACAAACAGTTCTCATGGTCGTGGATTTCATCAATTCTGCTCACTCTGCTTTTAAGAAACTAATTGTTTAGTAGTCTTAGGATCTCAACTGTCCCCTTGAGTTGTAACAGGAAATAATAGTCACAGATCAAGCCACTTAGTGAGGAGATGATGCCCTGGGGAAGGGTGTTCCTTCAAAAGCTGATGTTTTCAGGGTCTCTTTAGCTCATCCTAACTTGGTATGTTTTTAATATACTGCTCTCTTGGTCACCATCTGTAGATACCCTCTCCAGCCATGTAGATGCCCTCAGTGCCATGTTAGTCTCAAGCTGCATTTGGCAGCATCTCAATCCTCAGATGTCTGAAAACAGTCAGATGGTTGTTCTTAAAAATTGCTTAAATGACATTATTTTAGAAACATACCTGGTGAGTGGAGTCATGGGTCCTCTAATGTCGTTCAGATGCTAATTCCTGGAACCTTCGAATGTACATGGGCAAGGAGACCTGTGTTCTCCGAGAGAACTAGGTTGTTAGTTGGCTGACCTTAAAGAGGGGACCCTGGGATTCAGGAGGGCTCACTTGAATCACTGGGATCCTTGAGATGTGGGGTTGCTGTACTGCTGACTTCAAAGATGGAGGAAGGGTCCAGAAGCTGAGGAATAGTCTTCAGGAGCTGGAAGAGGTGGGGGAACTGGCCTCCTCTGCCTCCAGAGGTACTGCAGCCCTGCCACATCTTGACTTAGCCCACTGTGGACTACCGTCCTCTGCTGGAAGGAAGATGGTGTGGGGCCACCCATGAGCTGTATTAAGCATTCTCTCTCAGCCTTGAGCCAAGGGGTGTTGGTCTGGCATTGCACTCGGACTGGGCTGCGCAATGCAGGTGGCCTCTACTTTCATTTGGCAAAGAGTCTGCTCTCCTCTGGCTCTGGACCTGGGAATTACCATTGTGGCTAGGTAACTTCATCTTTGCCTTATTTGGTGAAGAACATCCTATCGAAACTCCTTTGTTAATTTCCCTATAAATAAAGGGATTCCAGGTGCATGCTCTCTCCAGTGTGGAAGCTGACCCTTCAGGTCCCACTCTCGATTTGAAAAATTTATATCTGTGCTGTGTGATTTTTCTCTGCCTTCTTAGCTTAATGTTGCAGCCAGCCCATTTAAACCCAGTTTGACTCGTCTGAGCGGGACGAGAGAAGATAATAGGTTTATGACTCTGGAAGTCACTGAATTAATGGCATTTTGTTAGAGCAGCAATAGGAATCTAACAAAATATCCGAGTATTATAGCCTTAATTTAAAAATATATAAAAGTCTCATTCTCTGTTAGACTGTTATTGTACCAAGAACTATCCCATTATTCAGTCTTACTGCAAGTCTCTGCTTGACACTCAGGGTGCATAATAAACATTTACCGAATTCTAATCATTTCCTGTAGCAGATGGTCTCCCACCATTTTTTGGGAAAGTGTTTGACCATTCTTCAGTGAAGGATGTGTTTCCTTTGATGCTCACTACCCAAAAAAGCATCTCATATCCATTGCAGTCAATACCTATGGGTCTTCTCCCTTAGTGACTTTTGATTTAGGGGACAAACTCATTTAAACTGAGTTGGTCTTCTCTGGCCCAGTGTTAGTAAGTGGGACGTGGGTTCTGTGGCTTCTTAGGCCTCAGCTGCAGCTGCTCTGGAGCCAGACCACTTGACTGCCTGAAGACTCCACCCTCAACTTTCATGTCCTTGAAGCTTGTGTTATAATACAGATCATCCCAAAATAGACTTGGCTTGTGGCAAAAATCTATAAAACTACTTATGATACATAAGCCAATCTGTAAACTATTTAGTTTTGTAGATTTGTGTTCAATTTTCTTCTGTCTTTGGATGAAACTAACAAAATCAATAGGATGATGGCAGTTTTAAACATGCTGTATGTGGGATGTGGCGTGTGCTGGGCCCTTTGCTGCTGTAACTTAGAGCAGCTGAAAGCAAGCGTGTATCAGGACACAGCTCGCATTGGTTAAGAACCAGAGCAATTGGGCTGGGTGGCTCTGCCCAGAGCCATCTCAGGAGTCTGCGGCCTTCTTGGGTCTTGATTGGTACAGAAACCACTCCTAAGTGCGAGTCGCATGGCTGTTGGCTGGTCCGGACAAGCTGCCCCTTGGTCCCTTAGGAGGCCTGTCCACAGGCTGCTGGTAGGTGGCAGGGGAGCCAACATGCTGAGTGTGGACACTCACCACGGAGCCAAGGGCTGCTTAATTTCAGAAGCCACACCCCGTCACTTGGGTCCTCTTCGTTAGAAGCACATCAGGGAGTCCAGCCCACATTTAGGGGAGCTGACATCAGGGCACCAGCATCAGGGCGGGGGCCATGGGAGCTGACCTACTGGCTGACCACCACAGTGCATCAACTTATAACTTTCCCACCTGAAACTAAGTTCAATAACAGGGCTTGTGCAGCATGCCACAAACAGGCCTTCCATTTTAAATGACATGAAGTGAAAACGGAAGCCTTTGAGCTTTCAGACAGGAAATTCAGAACACGCTTGAGGATTACCATGACAGGCACTGGGACTGCGGCTCAGTGGCAGAGCACGTGCCTAACACATGAGGCACTGGGTTCAATCCTTAGCACCACATGAAAATAAAAATAAATAAATGGTTCTTTTTAGTTATACATAACATTGGGATTCATTTTTACTTAATTAAAAAAGCATGGAATATAATTTGCTCTAATTCATTGCCCAGTATTTCCCCATCCCTTCCCCTCTACTCTATTGATCTTTCTGGTATTTACTTAATTTTTAAAATCAGTGTCTGGTGGATGTGCACGATGGTGAGATTCCCTGTGGTAGAGTCATATATGTACATATAGGATAGTCAGTTCAGGTTCATTCCGCTGTTATTCCCTTACCACCCCCGCCCATCTCCTTCATCTAGACCACTGATCTGTCTTCTATTTTGATGGATTCTCTACCTTTTCCCCAACCCATTAAATCTTAATAGTGTTTCTCAAACTTTTTGAGATTACAAACTAACCCACAAGTTGTTTGGCAGAAAGATCAAAAGAACCACCACCAACAACAAAAAAGATGTAGCAGAAGGCTGAGACTGTAGCTCAGTGCTTGCCTAGCATGGGTTGAGGCACTGGGTTTGATCCTCAACACCACATAAAAAAATAAAGTTATAAAAAATACATATATTAAAAAATACTCATTTTAAAAAAAAAGATATAGAGAGACTTTAGCTGTGTGATGATTCTCATGTCTAAGCTCTTAGAACAGAACTCAGCCTTGGATTGTCTGTAGCTTTGTCTGTTACAACATGGCATCTTCATAGTGTTCCCAACATAACAGTGGCTCTCAATGCTCATATTGCCTAAATAAGAGTTAAATATAGGCCAATCTTCCTTATTACTCCTCATTAGAATCTAAACTGCTGATTGCCAAGGTGGCCCCTGCCTGGCAGCAATATTTTTCAGGTTTCTGGTTTTGCCATTCTCTCAGTTTTCTTGCCTTTTTTTTTTTTTTGTCCTCTCTCCCTGAGGTATGTTACTTCATATTTACTGTTTTTATACAGAAGGAGATAAATAAGGGACCAGTGGATTGGTGACTTTTTATGGAATAAATGAAGGTGTAATTATGTTAATATAATAAGTGAATTATATAATTATGTTAATGTATTAAGTGAATTATAGTAGGTAACAGTAGAAGAACAGGTTTGCATAAATTGTATTGATAAGTGTAAGTTTTTTAATGAAATAATTCTACTTTTTTTTTTGCCCCTTTAACAAGCATATTAGCCCCAAATAATTCTTTGTAGTATTTAGCCCACTTGTTATTTAAATCCCAAGTCTTACCTCTTCTCTGTCTTTTCAGTGATTCTTTTCATGCACACCAAGAAAATATGCGGCAGATGATGAGGAGTTTCTCTGTTCCATTTGGGAGAGACATGCTCAATGTCTCTGAGTGTGGAGGGAGAGCTTGCGGCCACCGGGGATGGGACGACAACGAAGACTCCTTTACTGTGAGTTCCTTGCACTGGCTATGGGAAGTGTTGAGGCCATGTGTCTGGCACAGCTGCCAACTGCAGGGGCCCACCATGCCATCAGAGCCTCAAGGACCACAGGGTTGTGGTCATAAACCAGAGTTGAACTTCTTACTTTTCATAGACATACTTCTCACCTCAAAACCTCCTCCTATGTCTTAAATTAGAGCAAACCAGGAAAATTTCCTCCGTATACTCTATAAAAAATCTTTTGACACATGGTGAAACCTGTAGTATAAGTTTTATCTTATTGGACCAGGGAACAGTGACCTTCTGCAGGATGCCTGTTCTACAGGGCATGGTTAGCCTTCAGCCACATCTCGGAAACCTTGCCCAACGCAGCATGTTCCCACGTCTCATCTGTGAGTAGGGCTGAAGGCTAAAACATCCTCTGCTCAAAAAGTTCAAGGACATTCATGGCTTCACTGTTTTCTCTTTTGCTGATTCTGCTTCTGTTGTATTTTCAGCCTTGGGAATGGCAGTTCTAGAGTAACAAATCCATAAGGGATTCTCTGCTGTTACAGTGTGGATCTCTGAAACTCAAGGAACATTGAATTGGCTAATGGGAAACCTCCAGAATCTTCCAGAAAAACATTTTTTTTATTTTCTCTTTGCAGTAAGCTTATGTAGAGCAAAATATTTTAGACAGTCCTAAGAACATTACATTTGCCACTTAAAATGAAAATAGCCTTTACATTCTCTTTCATCAATATTATTGCCAAGCAACAACTCACAAATTTATTTTCTTTTATTTAGTGAGTGGTATTATCATTATATATATAAAACATATATGACACATTATATATATAAGCATATATGACTATATATATATATAAATATTAGTGCTAGTCAGTTTACTTAAAAGTTTAACATCAGAGGAAAAATTTTCTAAGAGGACATAAAAATGAATTATGGACATGAAAAATCATCAGAGCATTAAACGATTTTTTTATGCCTGCTCTAACCATGGCAAGGAATAAATAGGCTACATATAGCACTTTATATTTATGTGCATAAACTGGCTATTTGCAGTTTTTGTTCAGGAAGCAGGAGGTGGCAGTTTCATTGCCCTGCTTTGTAAGCATAGAGAGGAGACCTGTCTAATTCAGTTGAGATTTCCTGTTGAAGACAGGAAATTTCCTGTTGAAACTATGGCTCTGCTGGTCATCCATTGAAAGCAGAGGTGAGCATTTCTTTCCTGGACATTGTGCTTAAAGCACTGAATGTTTAATAGGAAGTAGAGTCAGAAATATATAATCAAGTAGAAAAATTTTGTGAAACTACAGTTTATGAGTTTTATAATTTAGCCTATTATCATTTTACCATGTTTCATATTTCATGTTACATTTGCCTTGAGAAAGTGGCTTTAAGTCAAGAAAAAACAGCAAAGGTATATGATTGCATAATTGTGATGATCAAATAATAAAAGTCAAGTGGAAAAAGGAGAGTCAAGATCAATATTTGAATAAAAACTAAAATAACCGCTCCCTTATTCTCATAGTTGGGCTAACATAACAAAATCCTTTGAACTGGGCAGCTTACAAACAACAGAAATTTACTTCTCACAGTTCCCAAGACTGGGAATTGCGGGATCGAGGTGTGAGCAGAATCTCTGATGAGCAAGCACTCTGCTTCGTAGACACAGTGGAAGAATGGCAAACCCTCAGGCCTCTTCTGTAAACCTCCATTCTCCTTCTGAATGGCAGCGTTGTGAATGTGCACGGTGCAGTATGGCAGCCCCTAGCCTCACATCTCCTGACCACTTGAAATGTGCCTCGTGTTCAAGCAGAATCAAAATTAAATAAAGGGGGCTGGGGTTGTGGCTCAGTGGTAGAGCACTCGCCTAGCACATGCAAGGCCCTGGGTTCGATCCTCAGCACCACATTAATTAATTAATTAATTAATTAAATGTGTCCAACTACAACTAAAAAATAAATATTAAACAAAATTAGATAAAGGGGTAGTATCAAACTAAAAAGCCTTCTGTATAGCAAAGCCAACAAGTAACAAAGTGGTGAGAGAGCCCAGAGAATGGAAGAAAATATTCGCAAACCATATATTTGAAAAAAAAATTAAAATATATAAGGAACTCAAACAACTCAGTAGCAAGAAAACAAATAACCCTAATTAAAAATGGACAAAGGATCCGAACAGACATTTCTGAAAAGAAGACAGGCAGGGCTGGGTTTTGTAGCTCAGTGGAAGAGCGCTTTCCTAGTATGTGTGAGGCACTGGGTTTAATTTTCAGCACTACATTAATACAATAAAGGTCCATTGACAACTAAAAAATATTAAAAAAAGAAGATAGGCAAATGGCCAATAGGTACATGAAGAAATTTTCAGCACCGCTAATAATTAGAGAAGTACAAATTAAAACCACAATGAGCCAGGTGTGGTTGGCACATGCCTGTAATCCCATCAGCTCAGGAGGCTGAGGCAGGAGGATCATGAGTTCAAGGCCAGCTTCAGCAATTTAGGTAGGCCCTAAGCAACTCAGCTAGACCCCTGTCTCTAAATCAAAACAAGAGCTGAGGTTGTGACTCAGTGGTTGAGTGTTTCTGTGTTCAATCCTCAGTACCAAAAAAAAAAAAAAAAAAGAAAGAAAGAAAAACAACCACAGTGAGAGAGTGCCTCATCTATTAGAATGGTTTTTTAAAAAGATGAAAGATAAGGCTGGGTTTGTGCCTCAGTGGCAGAGCACTTGCCTTGAACTTGTAAGGCACTGGGTTTGATCTTCAATATCACATGAAAATAAATAAACAAAATATATTGTGTCCATGTATAACTAAAAAAGTATTTAAAAGAAAAAAGATGAAAGATAGTTAATGTTGAAGAGAATGCAGAGAAAAGGGAATGCTTGTTGGTGGGAATGTAATTACTACAGAAAATGGGGTGGAGCATCCTCAAAAAACTAAAAAGAGAGCCCCCATGTGACTCAATGATCCCACTTCTGAGTATCCAGAGGAAATGAAATCAGGTGTCTAGGAGATGTCTGCACTGTGTGTTTGTTGTAGCATTATGCACAGTAGCCAAGAGAAGGAAAGGATTGTCTGTCAACAGGTCCATGCATAAAGAAAATGTGGTGTATATACACAATGGAATATAATTCAGCCTTCAGAAAGAGGGGAAATCCTGTCATTTGTGAGAACATGGGTGAATCTGGAGGACATTATGCTAAATGAAAGAAACTAGACCCAGGAAACAAATAACCACCCGATCTCACTGGTAATTGGTTACAGGCAAAATTAACAGATCTTTATTTAAAAGTATAGAATAATTGAGCAAAGGAAAGATAACTTAATCATAATTATTATACCTTATGTTTTAATTAAGTCTGGTATAAAGTTGCATTTCCTTTGAGAAATGTGTACCTTAATCTATAGCACATAAATTTTCTTTCAACTGCCCTACCATAGAGTAGTCATACTTCAAGTGACATATGGCCTCTCTGTTTGTCCGCCAGGCTCCTGTCGGGCTCTATGATGAATATGACAGACAATTTAGAAATACATTTGAGTCTTTTTTATTAAAAGTTTCTGTAATATTTGCAGCTGTGAGTAATGTGGTTGTTTAGTGTGTTTTTATATTTTTCAGGGACTACTATAAATATCATAACCAAAATTAATATGACATTATCTTTCTAGGCAAGGAGTTTTCTCATGCCTTTCTGCAGTTTTGGTGGTTTGGTTCGTATCATGAGACATAAATCATTTTAGCAATTTTTTTGACAAATATTTATTTTTCATGAACTTAGACTGAATTGGCATGCATCTCACTACTAATGCTTTTTCATAATGCTTTTTAGTATTTGTACTGAAACCTTTCCTTTCAAATTTTAAATTTGTCATAGTGTTTAGGCATGTGTCACATAAAAATACATAAAGTCAGTCTTTGGAAATAAAATATAGATTTTGATAGACTTAAGATTCACTTGCTTTGGCTCCTCACTTGTGTTGGAGAGTTGCAGGTCTTGACATGCTTGTGGTGACTTTCTAGAAGATGGGGAAGGAGTTTGGAAGAGCTCAGATTGGCTACCCTCTTTAGGAGTTTGTGGCCAGCATGTCCAAGCTGCTTTTTCTTGCCCAGGCACACATATGGATGCTCTGCCTTTGTCATTTCTCCATGCCTGATTCTTTGGGCTTTGGTTCTGAGTCTGTTGCTAGTTTCCAGCATACCTAAAAGCATTCCAAGGAGTAGCATAGAGTACCTCAAATGTGGAACGTTTGTATCTGTTTTCTCTTGAAAAGTGTTTTTTATTCCTTTGTGCTAGATTTGAGCCATCATGGCACATATGACCTCTGTGCGCATGTATATAGCATTACAGTTCCCTAATCATTTACCATTGTTTGGCATTTTTGCATATGCTTTAATTGCTTCCTTAACAAACCGCTCTCATTTTATAGTTTTAAAATTATTTTTGCCTGATTGCTGCGTGAGATCCCATTAAGTGAACTGGGGAGAAGTTTTTCAGCTATTTGGAGAAGATTGGTTTGCTGTTTTGTGTGGTACTTGGGGTGAATAACATGCTTCCTGATGTCCTGCAGCACGCCGATGGCAACCCTTTCCAGGCAATGAACCGAATGATGCAAAATATGGGAAACAATATGCAGGAGTTACAAAGAAATTTTGTAAGTACTAAAAATAGTGATAAGAACATGGTTTCAGTCATCGGCACCCTATATTAGAGTGGCTGTTTATTTATCTAGTACCAGGGATTGAACGTGGAGTGCTGTACCACTGAGACACTTTCCACTCTCCTTACTTTTTATTTCAAGACAGGGTCTAAATTGCTGAGGCTGCCTTTGAACTTATAGTCTTCATAGTAGCTTTTAAACATTTTTAACTCTTAGTCTGCAGTAGCCAAAAATATCTTACATGATTAATCCATACACAGTACTTATATACTTTATAAATATACCTGAAACAAAAGTTTCATGAGGGCTAGGGTTGTAGGTCAGTGGTAGAGTGCTCGCCTCACATGTGGAAGACACTGCGTTTGATCCTTAGCACCGCGTAAAAATAAAATAAAGGTATTGTGTCCATCTACAACTAAAAAGAAAATTTTAAAAAGTTTCATGAGAAAATGATCATAATATTCATAGTGTGTATTGATATTTTCCATTTTATTCCATGTTTTAAAATTCCTGGTCATATTCCACTAAATTTATTTCACAACCTACAAGTGGGAAAAGTAACATTAGATAACGTTCATAATTTAAAAAAATCAACCTCTAAACATTATTCTGCTGAGTAACTAATATAATTAAACCTTTTATTTGAATTTATTTGTCTTATTTATAACCTGTCTACTTAAAAGTATCCATAGCATCCAAGAAATGAACTTGTTATATTAAAAAACTGAGAACAGAAACTTCAGGCTTGATTTTAGGGGCTGGAGTCGGGCAGTCCAGGTGCTCATAAACCTGTTCGAGGGCACCTGCCCTTCTCCCATATATTATGTGGAAAAGAAGTAACTCCTTCTGAAGAAGACTTGAGGCACACGATCTTTGGGTTGTTTCAGGGTGCCCTGGAGCCAGGCATCATCAGTCCTTTCCTAGAGTCTCACACTGGTACCCATGCAGGGCGTCAAACTTCCTGGCCTATGTATGGTTGCCCATGTGGGCAGGAGTGCATGGAGGGTCAGCCACTGACTGGGATGTGTTTCGAGCTTCAAGGGCACAGCATCTTTACTTAAATCTGAGCCGGAGAGACCCAAAGACTCAAGTGGACCACTTGTTCTTTGCAAGGAGAAAGGGAACTGGTATAAAAAAGTGAAGGATGTTAGGACCCCTGGGTGCCCTCTGGATAAACCATATTGGTATTGTAGAAACCTTGGTAGAGTTGAGAGCTAGTCTTGTTACTTATTTGGACCCTTTGGCATTAATTCTTTCAATTTCACTAGACTCTGAATTTAATATTTCTTTTTGCCTCTAGGGTCAGCTTTCAATGGATCCAAATGGACATTCATTTTGTTCTTCTTCAGTGATGACATACTCCAAAGTAGGAGATGAGCCTCCCAAGGTTTTCCAGGCCTCCACTCAGACCCGTATGGCTCCGGGAGGAGTACGTATTGACTCGCCTTCTCAGAGCTGTGTGCAGTGGGCTTGCGGGCTGGGGCTGTGGTGGCGCTGGGAGCCAGTGCAGCTCGGCTGCATTCAGTTATTGGTGCTTTGTTGGCGCCCCATGATGGTGACTCCCTTCTCCTGAGTGTCTGCTGATGTTTATTACCTTTGCATATTGACGAGGGACACTAAAAGAAGCCTTTGTGTCATGAATTACCTACTTTCAGTTTATTTGAAGTAAATGAATTTAACTAATGAAATATTTTAAGTTACAGAAAGGACATAAGATGGTTACCTTATTCCTGCCACCCCACTTAGTCAAACCACAATGTTTCTCTCATTTGCCTCAAGTTGTCTAAGTAAAGCTTCCAATGTAGTCCTCCAGAGGTCCCTTTCCTCTTTCTTCCTCCAAGAGATATCTGTTTTCTGGCTTGTCATTCACATAGGTGTTTTACAATTTTCTTATTTATGGAGGCATCATAGAATACAATGGGTTATTTTTTCAGGTTCCTGTACTTCCTGCATGTGGCATCATCGCTACATGTGTGCTCTGCAGCTTCTGAGGTTATTAAGTTGATACCCGTAGCCTTGCTTTTTAAATTTCAACTTCTGTGTGTTCTTTATCTTAGAAATGACCATGTTGCTATCCCACAGTGACCAAAACTGTTGGCTTCTACAAACTTTGGCATGGGAATTCCCATTTCTTTGTGTCCTTATTGGTACTGGTAATAAAACTTGAGGTTCACCAGACTCTACTGGAAGTGAGGTGATTCATTCTGTAGTTCTTACACACACCCCGCCCTTTTGTGCTGCCCTTGCTGGGTTCAGCACATGCTTTGTGCACATTTTGGTCTTCAATTGCTGAAAGCAGCAACATCTTCAATGTTAACAGTAGAATCGTGGCTGTCTCACAGCAATCATGTTGCTGTCACTGGCTGTCATAAATAGTGTGCTGACCCTTCCATAGAGCTGAGAGCATCATCACCATGAGATTCAAGCCTGTCAGCCTGCCTGGGGAGTGAGTAGCAGCCTTATTTAGGTGGGCAGTGAACTAACTTCTGTTATACTGCCAAAGATTAGGCCCTTGAAGGCATTGTACTTACAGAATTGGAGCATCCTCTGTTTCAACATTTGGTTACAGTTTGGAAAAAGGTTAAATTGCATTGGTTCTGACTGTTCTGGGGTCTTCATTTTCAGCAGTTCAGGAAATATCAGAAACCAGATGCCAGTTTTATTGCCCCCTGGTGGGAGGGCCAGAACTGAGTGGTTACTGGGAACTTCTGGAGTATGACTCTGTGGCCCCATCTCCATAAGCTATGTGCCTCTGGAGATTTATGTCAAAGCCGTCTCTTCTGTATTTATTTAAGTAATAACAAAATCACTTTTTTCCCCCTCATTTTTTGCAGATAAAGGAAACCAGGAGAGCAATGAGAGATACTGACAGGGGACTAGAAAAGATGGCTATTGGCCATCATATCCAGGACCGGGCTCACGTCATCAAAAAGTGCAAGAACACCAAGACTGGGGATGAAGAGGTCAACCAGGAGTTCTTCAACATGTGCGAGAGTGAGTGGCCAGGCCGCCTCTGCCTCCCACAGGGAAGCGGCGCTGCATGTGCAGACTTGGCTTTCTCTGAACAGCACATCCTGAGCTGTGCTTCATGACCAATGTGGAGCGAATACAATAGGACTGTGTCTCAGCCGTCAACGGCACATCTCTTTTACAGGGATTCTTGGCAATGCGGAGTCTCATTTATTTTTCTTATCTTATAAAATGGACTTTTTGAATTATGTTTTAATAATATCAGTAGGCAAAACTAGTTTTTAGATATGTTTTATTATCAAGGAAATACATTTGAAAAGGATGACGTAAAAATAAAAATCATCTACAACCCAACCCCATATAAGTGTCAGCTATGCTTTAATGAATTCCTTCCAGCAATTTTATGTACACAAATGCACACACATTTTTCAGGTTACATTTTACCACCTAGCTTATGTGTGTGTATCTGAACTCACCCACCCATCGTGTTTTTTTTTCAAAAAACATCTCCGTAGTTACCTAAGTGTTAATCACAAATTCACCATCATTTACTTAAACCATTCTGCATTTTGAGCAGTTAGATCTAAAGATTTCAATTCCTGGTATATGCCATATAAAATATTATGCATATATATGAAGTAGATATTTTCATTTTCTTGATTTTATATTCATTCTTCAGTGCATTTAAGCCTTTCCGGTATCCTACCCTTTCTTATTAAAGTTTTTATTATATTTAAATGTATTAGCAATCTTAATAAACAAATTTTGATTTTGGGGGGGGGGTACTGGGGATTGAACTTAGGGCACTTAACCACTGAACCACATCCCCAGCCCTATATTGTCTTTAATTTAGAGACAGGGTCTTATTGAGTTGCTTAACACCTAGCTTTTCTGCTGAAATTGGCTTTAAACTCGCAGTCCTCCTGCCTCAGCCTCCTGAACCACTGGGATTACAGGCCTGCACCACTGTGCCCCACTGTGCCCGGCTAACAAATTTTAATCAATATTAATAATCCAGCTTTTGCATTTTAAATGTGAAACTACTTAAACTTAATTGTATTCATCTCCTATTTTCAGAAAGTATTCTGAATGTTTTATAGTATAGGGTTTAAATAATTAAGTCATTTTAGAAAAAATTCTTTTGAGATAGTTTTATAAAGCCATTATTATGCAATAAGAGGGAAGCCTCCATATCTTGACCTTTTTGAAATTGTAATCTTTGTAATTTTACCATTTAAATACACAGAGAATTTCACATAATCAACATGCTGGAGAAACTATAGTTCAGGAAAACACTACCCTGGAAGAACAGGAGCTGTGGCCTCTGCTGGAGGTTGTGGAGACTGGGTCACCTGCTCACACCAGAAGCTAAGAGCCAAGGGAGGAGCCTCCTAGGGGAAGGACAGCAGAGCAGAGAGGCCCTTGGATAGGAAGATGATAAACAGAAAGCTACCCCGGAGGCGGCAGGCCAGGGCTGGATGTCCAGGGAAGCCAGCCTTCAGCTAAGGGGAGAGGGCGGGGACTCCCTGACTGAGGCCACATACCTGGCGCAGCCCTGGCCTCCTGGAGCCCACTGCCCCTGCTGCACACAAGTACTGTCCTGTGCTCTGGTTTCAATGCAGGTGATGCACATGCCTTTGATGATGAGTGGCAAACTGAGGTCCTGAAGTACAACCCTGGGGGGCGGCCACGCAAAGTGGAGAACACCAGGATGCGCAGCGTCGGTCACGAGAATGCAGGACCCCGGGAGGTGAAAAGAAGGTAAAGGCCATTTTCCCAGTGCATTTTTAAGGGAGAGTTAGGCAGCTGTACCTCTTACCAGAAAGTTCTGACATCCAAGTTGTATGCATGGTATTGTTCCTAAAATATGTAAAAATTTCACATTATGTCTGAGTTTTCATTACAAATTTAACTTTGTATTTAAAAAACCTACTGTTTTAGCATTGTATGGTTAGTAATTCACCAGCAATCTACACTTCAGAAGACAGAGGCCAAAATCCTCCTAAGGAAAATTGATATACTGTAATGCAGTTCTTCTTGCAAAATGAATTCTAATCTAGATGTGGATAAAGTCCTATATGTCACAGGAGCTAAAGATATTTGCATCTAGAGGGATGATAAAAGGAGAGGGAGAGCTATTTAGGGAAGACTCCCTATTTTAGGGAAGATTAACTTCCCTAAAAGTTCAAAATTTAGTATTTATGGTAAATGAATTTTTAGAGACGTATAATATGTAATGACAGTATATGAAATACCACATTTTATGTGTATTAGATAATTTGGAAGAATGTTGCAAAAAATTTAGCCTTTCTTTGAATTATCCTTTGGAATAGCTGGGAAAAAATTATCCTTTGTGAAACCAGCACCATACTTTGCCACTGTCTTCTGACATCTGTGCTTGAGTGATATTAATAAAGATTTAAATAATTTATCTCAAATTTCATAAAGCATATATTAAAAGTTATAGGTTTTAGTACATATTCTGGAGTTACCATGGAAGTTGGTTCTCTGGAGGAAACTGAAATGATACCTAATTCCTAGTTGAAATTACCCTGTAGAGAGCACGGCCTCCCCAGGCCTTCAAGCAGAACCCTGTTGAGGGCTGTGTAGAAGGCAGAGGTTTCCTATGCCACAGGACAAGTGGTGTCCAGCCAACCAGAACCTTGTGCAGAATGTCAGGTGCCAGACCTCATAAAGTACTTGCTCAGGAATTCAGAGCACTAGTATTTTCTATTAAATGCTTAAATACTTGCTCTCATCTTAATTTTAGATAATATCTGTCCCACTTTAAAATTTGATGGTTAAAAATCGAGTAGTGCTAAGTTTGAATATGAAATCCAGGTCCCAATTAGAGAAGATATACTCTTTATGGATGATTTATAGATCTGTGGCCCTAATCAGCAGCATTTTAACCAGTACTGCCCAATAGCATTGTCTAAAATGTTTTTCTACAGTGATGAAAATGTTACATATTTATACTGTGCAATATTATAACTATTAAACACATGTGTCTATTAAGTCACACTGGAATATAGCTGGCACAACGGAGGAGTTATTTTTAATTAAATATAAATGTTGCTAGTGGCTGCATATTGAACAGTACTGTTAAATTGCAAACACTTAGATCTTAGGTAAACAGCTATTGCTTTCTTAACTGTTCAATGAAGTAGTGCTTTCTTAAGTTACAGTGGTTTTTAAACATGTTTGCAATGACTCAAAAAACAATGAGCATTTTAAAACTGGTATCAACATGCATGTATTCATTTCTCAGGGATAAATCTCATCATAGTCCAGCCCTTGAAAGTGGAAGAAAACCAAAAGTTTTTGGAGACAAACTCAACATCAAAGGATCACCTGTGAAAATGAACAAAAAATAAACAGCCATGCCCTTGACTCATTTTGTGTTGGTTGTTTTAATGACGTCGTGGTGCCGGGCAGTAAACGTGGGCCAGTCTCCTCTTGTGAAACCAGCACCATACTTTGCCACTGTCTTCTGACATCTGTGCTTGAGTGATGTTAATAAAGATTTAAATAATTTATCTCAAATTTCATAATGTCAGCTAATTTTATAATGCCAGCTAGCATAAGGCTTTAAAAAGAATAATATAAACTAGTAGTGCTGCTATATAAGAAATCAGCTCTTATTTTGACAAAGGGAAAGAATAAATAGTTCATTAAAAAAAACTATTTTGGCTGATTGTAGTGACACATATATGTAATCTCAGAGGCTTGGGAGGCTTAGGAGGCTTGCAAGTTCAAGGCTAGCCTTAGCCACTTAGTGAAGCCATCATGTCTCAAAATTTTTTTTAAAATACAGAAGGACTGAGGACATAGTTTAGTGGTAAAGTGTCCCTGGTTTAGTCCTCAGTATACAAAAAAATAAAGAAAATTTTAAAATTTAAATTACTAATGTACATGAGTATTGTATTCAGACATTATATTCTTTGCTTTGTTGTATGCTTACCCTTGACATTTCTGCTCTTTCCCACAAACAGTTGACTGTTTTACTCATCTGTTTTAGGCCTTTAGTCACTAAAATGCAAATGTGTTAATTCATTTTTATAGCTGAAATTAATTGGCATAATCTTACACATACTCTATTATACTAACATATTATAATAATATTCTAGAACATACTGGGAAGTTGTCAAAAGCCATAACTTTTCAAGTAACACTCTTGCTAAATTGACTTAACAACAGAATCTCAATAGACACTTTCATTGTTCTCCTTTTGCCTAAATCATTACATTGATAACTTGAACAATTATGTTCAAATCTGAAAACACATTTTAATAAACTATGCTTAATAGTATAATTTCTTCCCATTACATGGCAGAGAATTCACAGAACTTTGTTCCCCACTGCTATGGTTTGGATGTGAGGTGTCCCCCAAAAGCTCACATATGAGACAATGCAAGAAGGTTCAGAGGAGAAATGATTGGGTTGTGAGAGTCTAAACTGAATCAGTGAATTAATCCCCTGATAGGGATTAACTGAGTGATAATTGAAGTGGTGGGGTGTGGCTGGAGGTGGTGGGAATTAGGGCGTGACCCTGAGGTATATATTTGTATCTGGCAAGTGGAGTTCTCTGTCTGCTTCCACATCACTGTCATGTGAGCAGCTTCCCTTTGCCACGCTCTTCTGCCATGATGTTCAGCCTCACCTCAAGCCCTGAGGAATGGAGCTGGCCTTCTCTGGAATCAGACCTCTGAAACCATGAGCCCTCAAAAAACCTTTTCTTCCCTTGCAGGTGTGCTGGTCAGATCCTTTAGTCACAATAGCAAAAAGCTGACTAAAACACAAATTACTTGCTATGAAAATAAAAATTGAAGTAAACCTATATTTCTTCTTAAGCCACAATGTTTTCTTAGAGGACATTTATAAAATGTGACATTTAGAAATCATCAATGTTCTGTATGTGGCCTCAGGTATATAAGATTTTTTTCAATGGTCCTACTTGGGCCCTAAAAAGAACCCAACTGTGGAAAATTTCTCATAGACAAAAGAGAGAGACTGATCACCTGATGTATTTACACTTGTTCAAACATGAGACTTGCTAACAAAGTATTCAACAGTATGCGACAGGTGCATAATTATTTTTTATAGAAATTGTCTTTGACCACTAACATTTGAACTAATATAAACTGATCTTTCTCCTTTCTAATTTTTAAAAAATTATTTGGTAGTTATAGGTGGACACAGTACTTTTATCTTATTTTTATGTGGTGCTGAAGATTGAACCCAGGGCCTCATGCATGCTAGGCAAGTGCTCTTCCTATGAGCCCCAACCCCAGGCCCTTAACACTCATTTTTGTCTAGTGTAAATCATAAATGTAAAATGTCTTTTTATAAAAGCCATAGCACTTGAGTAAGATTTTATTTAAGCTAACTTTTTGAGTTAATTTATATGCATTGTATGCTAGCTTAAATTGCTGAAAGTAGAGGCAGAAGTTTGCTTTAAAAATGCAGACACACAGGGCTGGGGCTGTAGCTCAGTGGTAGAGCTCTTGCCTAGCATGCATGAGGCACTGTGTTCGATCCTCATGCACCACAACATAAAATAAAGGCATGCTGTCCATCTACAATTACAATAACAAAAAGCCACAGCCTCAGTTCCCAAAAGCAGATGTCCCAAAGCCACTCTCCATCCCTTTGTGATCAATGGCAGAGACAGCCACGGAGGTAAACTGTTCCCTTGGTTTTAGTAGAATTAAAAAAAGACATTCTTGATTTTATTAAAAAAAAAAAAAGACTTGTTTCTACATTGCTAGATACAGAATTGTATTAATTTTTGATGAACCTTGAGACTTCAAAATCATCCTCTAAATCACTGGACCGCAGCATAAACGAGAAACACAAGATTCTGCCTATTCTACAGAGGCTATTGTTTATTCTGTGGAAGTTGAAATTATAAAATGTATGTGGGGTCATTCTACAAAACACCTGACTAGTGTGCCTGAAGACCATGGGGTCAGGAAACACTAGGAGGACTGCAGCTGTAGAGACCAGAGATGGCACCTCACTGGGGGAAGCCCTCTGATTCCCATAGGGCTGAGCCAGAAGCCTTTCCCTGCTTCTGCCCCCTGGGGAGGGGGTGCTTTTGTGGCACTTTTGGATTAAAGGACTCTTTCAGCACCCAGTCGATGATTGACAAAATGCAAAAGGAAAACAAAACCCGGGAACCACTACTGATTTAAGGGTCAGATTCAGGACTGGGGCTGTGGCTCAGTGATAAAGAGTACTTGCCTAGCCTGTGTGAGGCGTTGGGAAGGTGCCAGCGGGGAGCTGTCCAGTCTCCAGGAAGCCTCTCCAGGTTTTAAAAAATCTACTTGTTAAGGAAAACACTGAACTTGCACCAAAGCAGAGCAAAGAGCAACCCTGCATTCACTGGGCTGAGCAGTTTCAGCAGAGAGGCCTCTGCCCGCTTAAGAGGGCCATCAGTCACTGGGCCTTAGCCAGGGCAGAGGCGGGCACTCAGAGCCACAGGAGCGCCAGGAGGAAGGAGAGGGTGTTGAGAGCCACAGCCCAAGGGGCCCCAGCAAACTTCCAGCTGCCAGCTGATGATTGGCTCACAGTGGCCCCAGCAAACTTCTAGCTGCCAACTGATTGGCTCCTCTGCGGTGATGCTCATTGGGCTGTTTCCCCACCCTTTCAGACCATGGAGCTGCTCATTGGGGGACTGTTTTTGGCTCTGCCCACGCGACCCAGCCAATCAGCCTCAAGAGCAGGAGGAGTGGGGGAGGTTGAGAGGCTTGTGGGAAGCCTGTGGTGGCAGTTGGGCTCTGAAGGTTTTTCCTGAGGAGCTGTGTGGTTTGGCATGTGTGGTTCTAAAAATAAAGTTCGTTTCTTTTGACAAGTGGCTCCTGAATTGTGCCTAGCCAGATTGCGGCAAGAGGGGACAAACAGGGCTGGTCCACAAGGAGGAGGGAGAGGAGACAGGGTTGGAGTACAAGGAGGAGAGAGAGGGGACAGTCAGGGCTGGGAGCAGCAGGAGGAGGGAGGGGGGCAGTGTGGAGGGAGCCTCAGGAGGATTTCCTTCTGCACCAGGAAGGCTGCTGGGAGGGTTTGAGACAGAATTTTGGACCTATCAGGCCACGTCCTTGGAGACTCAAGGTGGCACCTGAACTGCAGGTCGCCGCCTTCCACCTGGTCTGGCAGCGCAGCTGACAACTGGGAGCAATGCAACGTTGTGAGATAAGAGCAGTAATCTGCAGTCGGTAGTCGACCTCTTGCTCCAGGTTCTTGGGGCTCGACCACAGGCACGTTTCAGGCGCGTGCGAATCTATAACACTGCGCGAACCTCGTGGGCAATTTGACATTCTTTTCACTTAAATTCTGTTATGAACACCTCCCCACGCGGGAATACAAACAGCCCAGTTTAAAGTCTTTGTCTTTCGCACCCGTCCTGGTTCTACAGGATTAAACCGCTCTCCCCGGGCACTAGGCTCTGCGCCGGGCGGTGCACTTCCTCCTCCAGGCGGCAGAGGGCGCCGCCGCCTGTCTGCGGGAGGCTCCGCACCTAGCGCCTCCGTGCTTTCGCCCCGGAAGTGCTCTGCCGGGCCGCCGGCGGTGACTTCCTGGGAGCCGGTGCTGAAGGACCGGGCTTAGGTTCGCTAAGCATGCTGCTGGTGCGTGCCGCCTCGGCTCTGTGCCGGCGAGGGAGGCAGGTACGTGCTGCGGGGTGTCAGCCTCGGTCCTCAGGAGGAGCCCGGGCTGCGACCCCTCGGTCCCCAGGAGCTGCCCAAGCCCCGCGCCTGACCCGGTCGTCTGCCTGGGTTGTTGACTTGCGCTCCGCTGCAGGCGCTTCTCCGTGGTCCGTGTCCGCCAAGGTTCAGGTTGATACGCTAAAGCTTGTGGGGCCGGGCGGGCCCGGGCGCAGCCGGCCCTGTCCTTGCGCCTCGGGTCACTCGCTCTCTGTGGATCAGCAAGGCTGTCACCTTTTCCAAGTCCTTTTGCCGCCTCCTTTGCAGAAGTGACTGCTGTGCACTTTGGATGTGCAGTTCTGTAGGAAGAAGTTTGTTTTGGCCATGAAGTCCAGTGTCCCGCCCCTTGCTAGTGTAGTTTTAAAAATATTTCATTATTTTTTGTAGAGAAAATCTGGAGCCTTTGCCGGGCTGCCTTGAAGCTACTGCTTGGAATTGTAAATCCTCAAAACGCCCTTGCTGTGAGCCACAGTGAAGAGGAAGGAGAGAAAATTAATGGAAAATTTAAATTAAATTCTTTATTTCGTATTTAAATAGTTTTAGGAGCTATTTTCTGATTTTATTTTAAGCAGCTCCAATGTATTTCCAAGCTAACATTTGGCAAAGGTATTTTTCTGTTTTAATTTAGCTAATTCTAAAGAGTATATGTTCTTTGCCTTTTTTTGTGGCTACTTCTTTGGTGTTGCAGGTTTAAACATTTCCCCTTCTGCCTTTCCAGGATTTCTTGTATTCATTGCAATTCTTTGGAGGAAAGATGCCCACCATTCTTTCATTTTAATTGCCTATTATCCTTCTAAAAAGTGCATTGAATTGAGCCCTTTCATTTCTTCAGGTTAATTGGAAGGCCTGCCGATGGTGTTCATCAGGGATAATTCCTAATGAAAAAATCCGAAACATCGGAATCTCCGCTCACATTGACTCTGGGAAGACCACGTTAACAGAGCGGGTGCTGTACTATACTGGCAGGATTGCAAAGATGCATGAGGTATGTGGTTCACAGTTGATGCCAGATAATTAGAGCTTGGTTTTAGTTGTCTTATATTTATGATTTAGTGAACTTCATAAAACCTGAGAGAATAAGAAGAGCAGTAACATTGGCTTTTTAACCACAGTCACATACACAGAGGCGAGAGCCCATGTTGGCTCCAGAGACTGTCACTGTTAGTATCCTGAGCAGATTATCTTTTAAGAATGTTAAACCAATAAAATCTATTCTTAAGCAACTGTTAAAATAGTTCTTATATAGTTTTTAATAATGGGTAGACATTTATAATGTTAAATGGACACATGGGTTTAAAATGACATATAGTTTGAACTTAAAAAAATAAATGTTGGAAAAATGTATTTAAAAAAAAATTGAGACTCCTGAACACATGTAGCATGGAGTAACTTAACTCTCCATCCTGAACTATTTCTTCAGGTGAAGAGTATCTTGTTAAATTACATACTCTCAAGAGCAGAATCCTTCCTATGAATGCCTCTGTCCAGCTGAGGCAGAACTGGGAAGGATTAACACCTGTTGATGAACTGAGGTAGGGCTGGTGGGAAGGAGCTGTGCAGAGGGAGCAAGGATATTTCTTTTTTTTTTTTTTTTAATGATTTCACATTGTGTAGAATTTTTTCTTTTTAAGAGAGAGAGAGAGAGAGAGAGAGAAGTTTTTAATATTTATTTTTTTTTTTTTTGTTATTGGCGGACACAACATCTTTGTTCGTATGTGGTGCTGAGGATCGAACCCGGGCCGCATGCATGCCAGGCGAGCGCGCTACCGCTTGAGCCACATCCCCAGCCCAAGCATGGATATTTCTAAGACTGGCATGTTCCCCTGGTCTGTCCTAGCAGTAAGGAGGACAGCTTTGTGGCTGTTAAGACATGCTGACTATTATCTACTTTTTGAGATGCTGTAGTTTAACTGTTAGATGTCTGAAAATTGTCCAAGTTAACTGTATATTGTTTCCATTTCAGTAGAGATCGCTTTCCTTGTTGGGGTGCAAAGACAGAAGTCTGAATTGTTATACTTGTGTTTAGGTGAAAGGTAAAGATGGAGTTGGTGCAGTCATGGATTCCATGGAACTAGAGAGACAGCGAGGAATCACGATTCAGTCAGCAGCTACATATACCATGTGGAAAGATGTCAACATCAACATCATAGATACTCCTGGTGAGTTAGGGTCTTGCCTTTATTGTAGCTCTGTTGCAGAAGCACATTTGGTTCCTTCTTCTACTCTGATCCAGTTTAATTTCGAGTATCAAATTAAATCAATATTACTAATGATTTCTTATTAGAGAAAATAGATATGGGACCTGAAGCACTTGTTGATTTCCTTGAAAAATAGTGCACATACATGTGAGTATTAAGTTCTTGCCTTTTACAGATTGTAGCTCACTCCACAGTTGCCCAGGCCCTTATATTTTGTAGGAGTGATCTCTCTGGACCTGATGGGGGTGAATGGCATTGGTGAGCAGAGGAAACTGCATTCTAATTAGAAGACTTACATAGCCAATAGTGCTACAGAGCCTTTTAATAGTGCCTGGATTAAAACTTCAGACCACTCTTTCACCATCTTACATGCTGCTTTGTCTCACCAGGCCATGTGGACTTCACGATAGAGGTCGAAAGGGCTCTGAGAGTGCTGGATGGCGCCATCCTTGTTCTCTGTGCCGTCGGAGGGGTACAGTGCCAGACCTTGACTGTCCATCGTCAGATGAAACGCTACAGTGTTCCTTTTTTAACTTTCATTAACAAACTGGACCGGATGGGCTCCAACCCGGCCAGGGCCCTGCAGCAAATGAGGTACTGAGCCTCAGAAGAGAGGGTGTCCTGATCTAGACAGCTAGCTTTGCTTCCAGAAGGTCCGTTCATAGCGTGTTGCTAAGCTCTGTCTTTATGCTTTCCTTGATTAAAAACATGTCTGTAAGTAACTTAGTAAATGAAGCACTGAATTCATTAGTTTGGGTTATGGTGTAATTTTATCAGCCACTTTCTCTGTGAAATGGGGGAAAAATGATGAACTCTGGGGAGGTTAAAGATGACTTCAGAAGATATCTGGCAGTTGATATTGCTTTGCTGTAATTAGAGAAGGTGTAATCTAGGTTCTAGAAGTAGTTTGCATTCTATTTAGACAACCTGAAGGGTCACTTTCTGTTTTAATTTTGGGGGGTTTTGATAGATTTTAGTGAATGTGTTTACATAGTGTGCACAGAGACGCAGTCCCCTTGCTTTCTGATGATAAGGCATGTGCAAGACAACAGTGAGGCATCCCGCACAAGCTGTGGCCAGTGGTGCTTATGGCCTTTCACGTTTCCTGGCTTTTCATGTTTCCTATGGTGTGTTTCACCTGGCTTTTCAAGTGAAGGGCTTGCTTTTCACTTTTGTGGACATGTGAGTGCAGCCGTAGTGTCCTGCTCAAGTTTCACAGCACAGCTAATGGGTGCAGGTGGTAAATGTGTGGATAGGCTGAGAGTGATGTATCTGAAACAGAAAATTGAATGGGAGTGACGTATTTGAGAAAGTGAAAGTCATGTTTTTCTTTTGGGGGCTGTTTGTAATGTTTTCTTGGTAAAAACTAAATGTTCTTACTTTTTGTCCTGACTTTCTTGGACTGAGCTGCACTCAGTCTTCCTGAATTCCCAAGAAAATTGTCTTTCATCATTTTTTGATTACTTTGGTTCTTTCTTTGCTCCACTCCTATTTATCTACTTTCTCATTTTGTAACTCATTAAGCTGATTTTGGAATGTCTAGATTTGGCCTCTGTGTCTTCACTTTTCTATCAAGCTTTTTGTTATTTTGTGCTGGATCATGAGAGAATTTTTTTTTTTTTTTTGGTTCTGGGGATTGAACCAAGGGGCACTTAACCCCTGGACCACATCCCCAGCTCTTTTTTATATTTTAGTTAGAGACGGGGTCTCCTTAAGTTGCTTAGGGCCTCCCTTAAGTTGTTGAGGCTGGCTTTGAACTTGTGATCCTCCTGCTTTAGCCTTCTGAGCCGCTGGGATTACAGGTATTCACCACCATACCCAGCAACATGTGAGAATTATTAAGGTTAATATTCTAGCTTGTGAATTTGATACTAATCTGTGTCCCTCTGAGTATTTAGCCCCCCGCCCCCTTTTTGGTACCGGTTAACCCAGGGGCACTTAACCACTGAGCCACATTCCCAGCCTTTTTTATTTTGAGACAGGGCCTCGCTCAACTGCTGAGGCTGGCTTTGAACTTGCCATCCTCTTGCCTCAGCCTCCCAAGTTGCTGGGTATTTAGCCTATCTTTTGAAAATATTTCAGCAATTATGTAGTTAATTTTTATAAGCTTTCTTGTTTATTGGAACACTTTTAATAGAGGTAATTCACAAATTTTTAGTTTTCATTATTCTGGTAACTCTGGAGGTTAGTGCTGTTTCTTGAGTTTGTATTTCTCTCACAAGTTCTTAGTTTCCTTCAGGTAGCAATCCTCAGATTCTCTCCCATAGTTACCCATCCAAGTCTAGAGTCCAGGCTCCATAATGCAGCTAGACGTTTCTTCTCCCCTGGGAATCCTGCCAGGTCAGTGCAGTTCCTATCAGTGACTGTGCCTGGTTGGGGGACAGACTTATGATGAGTGTGTCCTATGAAAATTCTCTCTGCAGATAGCTGCACTTAGTTTTGCTGTCAGGATCTAAGAATGAGAGGTGGCTCAGCTATTCCACCATCCTTCAATTTCCTTGCCAGCCCCTTGTTTTTCTTCTTCCCTGTGTTTCTGATTTTGCATGCTCAGGAGATGCGGTGGGAAGCCTCTTGCTCTGGAGTTCTTTTTGTTGCCTTAGCAGGGCTGTGGGCTTCCTGAGCTCTTGGAGGCTGGCTGCCAGTCCTCTCTCACTGCTTTTCTCTTCTAAAATGCTGATGTTACCCTTCTCGTTTCTACAGTGTCTGCCATTGATTTATTTTTACATTTGTTACTTGAAAGAGATTTTAAGAGAAGAAAAGTAAGTAGGGTATTTTTATCTTTCAGGTCTAAACTAAGTCATAATGCAGCATTTGTGCAAATACCCATTGGTTTGGAGGGTAATTTTCGAGGAATTATAGATCTCATTGAGGAACGCGCCATCTTTTTTGATGGAGACTTTGGGTAAGTGCTAAAAAGACACTCTTTTTTTTTTTTTTTTTTTTTGATACTGAAGATTTAACCCCTGGGCATTCAGCCACTGAGCCACATCCCTAGCCCCTTTTTTTTGTTTGTTTTTGAGACAGGGTCTTGTGAAGTTGTTTGGGGCCTCACTGAGTAACTGAGGCTGACCTTAAACTTATGATCCTCTTGCCTCAGCCCTTTGAGCCACTGGGATTGCAGGCGTGCGCCTCCGTGCCTAACTAAAAATATATCCTTATATATACTTTAGAAAACACCAAAGTGGCAAGAGTATGCTCTTTAAACGTACAGTAAACATATTTTAGAAACGTGGCTGGAAGAATATTCTCCAGAGGGACTATATTTTAGTTCCTTTGGTCCTGGTTTTCTCGGTGTGCATTCTGACAGAGAGCATGTTAGGTTTCGGGCAACTGCTCCAATCATGTTGCTACATGTGGGTGCTTTCAGGGTGAGCGCTTCTGGGTTGAACTGCTAGTGTCTCTTTCCCTCTAGTTCATTGGTCCCTTCATTCACTCATGCTGTGGACTTAAAAGTCAGCATTGCTGTGTCTTGGGTGTTGTGGTAAAAATAGGGAGAGATAAGGATTGTTAAGTATTTGCTGTACCTGCTTCATGGTATTACAAAGGTAAAACAGTTCATATGTGAAAACTTACAATTGTGTGAATGTGGTTTAGGAAATGCAAGAAGCAAGTTTATAACTTTTTTTCCTTCATGTGGTGCTGGAGATGGAACCCAGGGCTTCATGGATGCTGGGGAGGCCCTATGCCACTGAGCTATATCCCAGCCCTTTTTATTTTATTTAAGGCAGGGTCTCACCAAGTCACCCAGGCTGGTCTTGAACTTGGGACCCTCCTGCCTCAGCTTCCTGAGTAATTGGAAGTACTTAATGTGTGTGCCACTCTGCCCAGCTTGGTAGCTTTTCCATGTTGTATTTGTTTAGTCAACATTTCAGTGACTTCTGCCTGCACACTACTGTCATTTTCCAGTGGTTATCACATCCTAGTATTCATACAAATCAAGAACTCATTAAAACAGGTAGCCTGGGTTCACCTCCAGAGATTCTGATTTAGTAGCTCTGGTGTTGGGGTTAGAATTTGTATTTTTGGAAAGTTCTCAGGCAATGCACTACTGTATTGCTACAGATCACACTTTGAGGATACAGATCTGGTGATGTGGAGAGTCATGTGTTCTTGGGAGCAAGCCCGGTAGGGGGTAGGTTCTCCAGAGCTGCTGCTGCTTGAGGGACCTCCTCCTTCTGCTGTGAAGTTAGAATCACAGGTCTGACAGGTAGGGGAGTGACACTGCGATCCTGAACTGTGAACTCTGTTCTCATCAGCCAGCTTGTAGGCAGGAAGAGGATACAGGCTGCCCAGAAAAGAAGGTTCCTCTCCCTGTGTGACAGCTAAGTGAGGATGGCTGCATTGACCTGTCATCCTTAACATAAGGCCCAAGGTTCTGTTGCTATTGCTTTACAGTCCAGCTTTTTTCATGGCAGGGACTCAGAAAGGCGTTTTTGAATGAGTGAAGGACTCCACTTCCTAGAGTTTGCAAGGAATTATCAGGTAGCTGTTTCTCAGGTAGAGGTCCTTTTGTGTTCTTTTACATCAGAATGACAGGTGGGGCTTCTCAGTGTGCATGGGGTGTCTGTCTGTCAGAAGGTGCAGGGAAGGCTGAAGTCTGTGGAGCCTGCCTGGATGAAGGAGTCAAGATCCAAGGCTGTGAAGGGTGTTCTTCAGGATGTTAAGGATTATTTTCTAACTGTAGTTATCTTTTGTCTTAAAGAATGTGTTTTCTTAAAAGCTAATTATTTTTGCATTAATTTTTATTTTTTTTATAAACACCTTGAAAAACTTTCAGACTGTTGTTAAATAAGCAAATATGGTGACTTTGCAAGTTTTTTTTGTTTTTTTTTTTTTTGGTGATTTTATCTGCTTTGCTCCTAGAGTGGAGACAGGTCTCAAGATGGAAATATGCCATGTTGTCCCACCTTACTTACTACAAACTGTAGTCAGGGTTGTTATTTTTAAAAAAGGAGTAGAGTGAGATCTCTAATCCTGCTTGCTAGAGAATGTGATGTTCTGATAAACAAGTTTATGGTTTGTAGGATTTTTCAAGAGCTCAGATGGACTTCAAACATAAAAATCAAGATTATGTACTTTCCAGTTAGGATGCAATAAAATGGGTTCTGTAACTACATTGAAAAGAAGTTTAATGTTTGCTTTAGTTGATACATTTCCAAGTGATTGTTTTGATTTTATAGTATATACTCATTTTGGATTTCTAGAATGAGGTCAGACTAGTTTGTATTAAATTGGGAAGGATTTTGCGTTATATCATTTAGCATAATCTTCTGTAAAATTTGGCTGACATAAAAGTAGAATTGATCTCTATTAAAAAATGAAGGGTTTTTTCCCTCATTATAGTGGACTATTTTAAATGTTGGCTCCTCTATGTGCTAGTTGTGCAACCCTGAGCAAGTTGCTTTGCTGTTTAAAGTACCTTTGCCCACTATTCTGAATGAATTTTAAAGACATATTAGTCATATTTGCTGATTGAGTACAAATATATCATGCTTTTCCTTACCTATAAAAAATGTATTAGCCATTAATTATATCTTCTCAATGGTGCTTTGTATGTTTAACTGAATACCATTAAAGTACTAAGTGAAATGTTTCTTTTCTCAGTCAGACTGTTCGATATGGTGAAATTCCTGCTGAATTGAGGGTTGCTGCAGCAGACCACCGACAGGAGCTGATTGAATGTGTTGCCAACTCAGATGAGCAGCTTGGGGAGCTGTTCCTAGAGGAGAAAGTCCCCTCCATCTCTGACTTAAAGGCAAGTTCTCTCAAAATAATTCTTAGCCAGGTGTGGTGGCCCTCATCTGTAATCCCAGCAACTCAGGAGACTGAAGCAAGAGGACTGCAAGTTCAAAGTCAGCCTCAGCAACTTGGTGAAAAGGGCTGGGGATGTGGCTCAGTGGTTAAGTGCCACTAGGTTCAATTCATGGTTCCAAAAAGAAAGAAAGGATCAATATAATTCTTATACTAGCAGATAGGGTTTTTTCCTTCTTTTTTGGGGGGAGGGCACATGATGCTTTTATGCACAGGTTTTATTAACAAGATATGAGTGAAATTTATTTAACATATCTGCTTCCTTGAACAGTATTTGGCATGTCATATTACTTTTTTTGAAAGTAGCTAGTTGTGTAATGTCTTCAAATGAGAAAGGGGTCATAATTTGTTCTAGAAAAAAGATACTGAAACAGTCAACCTCTTGGCTATGTCCTTATTAAAAAGAGAAAATAAATATAAAAAAGTTATAGCAGCAGGGGCTGGGATTGTGGCTCAGAGGTAGGGTGCTCTCCTAGCACATGTGAAGCACTGGGTTCGATCCTCAGAACCATATAAAAATGAAATAAAGATATTGTGTCCACCTACAACTAAAAAGTAAATATATTTTTTAAAAAAGTTATAGCAGTAAGACAGGTTAAGATATGAGGTTGCTAAGTATTAACAGCTCATTCTTGGTAGTAACACTGCTGTAATATTGGGAAACATTGCATGAAGCCTTATTGTTTCCTTCACTTGATTGTTAGCTCTATAAAAATAGGGAGATTCTTGTCTATGACCGATAATCATTTTTTGAATAAACATTCTCCAAAGCAGATATATAAATGGTCAGTACAAGAAAGGATGCTAAACGTTACTGATCATTAGGGAAATGGAAATCAAACAGCAATGAGATTCCACTTAATACCCATTAGGATGGGTCTTATTCCAAGCAGTACAAACTAAATAAGAGCTGCTGGCAAGGATGTGGAGGTTAGAACCCTTGTGCACCACTGTGGAAAATGGCATGGCGGTTCCTCAGAAATGAAAGACAATTACTATTTGATCCAACAGTTTTCCTTCTGGGGGTATATCTGAAATAGAAGGGTCTCAAGCAGTTATATTCAGTCACTGTAGCTGCACTCCTGAAGTGCCAAAAGGCAAAATATTCCATATGTCCTTTAGTGAATGAGTGATAAACAAAATGTGGTATTTTTTTAGATCTAAAAAGAGTGAAATTCTGGAGGTTGGGGATATAGCTCAGTTGGTAGACTGCTTGCCTCGCATGCACAAGGCCCTAGGTTCAATCCCCAGCAACACACACACACACACACACACACACAAAAGAAAGAAATTTTGGTACATGCTGCCACATGGATGAGTCTTGAAGACATTCTAAATGAAATAAGCCAAGTTGCAAAAGAACAGATAGGTTGTCATTCCACCTCTATCACAGCAGGGCTGGTGGGAGGGTTAGTGGGGAGTTACTGTTTCATAGATACAGTTTCAGTTTGGGATAATGAAAAAGTTCTGAAGATGGGTGGTAGGGATGGATGTATGACCTGGTGAGTGTATGTAATGCTGCTAAGCTATACACTTGAATATGGTAAAAGTGGTAAATTTCATCTTATGTAGGTTTTACTACAACTTTTAAAAAGACAAGTTAGTTTTCCCCAAAACTATTAAAGTCTATTAAAGGGCTCTCTGGGACCACTCCCAGGGTCAGTGATTCACTAGGACTTACAGGACTCAGCACATAGTCATCATTACTGTGACTTTTCCTGTGAAAGGGTACATAGCAAATTCAGCCCAGGAAAATGGCACATGAGATGAAGCCATGGGTAGCCAACAGTGTCCTCTCCCAGTGGAATTACCCAGGACTGCTGAGGTCCTCTGGCACGGGTGTGGCCATTAGCGAAGCTCGTTAGAGACAGGGTGCCTTGCATAAACACCTTCTACCTAGCTCATACCCATAACTCAAATTTCCATAAAGAAAACAAGTGTTTAGCACACACCATGTTGTGCACAGCAAATCATTCTTGCCAGTTCTGAGATTGGTGAGGACCCTCCTGAAATCCGAGTTCCCAGAGAGCAGGCATAGGCCAACCTTGCAGGCAGCCTTTGCCGGGAAGGCTGTGGTCCTGTTGACTCTGCTGCACGGTGCACATGGTGTCCTCTGTTTCCAGATTGTGGTAGGATGTGCTACCAAGAACATGGAGAGGCAGCAGTGATTCTTAAGAAAACAAGCACTGGGGAAACAGACTTTGTTGGGCATGTTTCAGTCTCTTTGTTTCTATTTACCTACCACTCTCATGTGTTTCTTTGTTCTGTAGATGTAAAGTAAGTATGATAAGATGGCCTTATGTCCGTACTTGTATATTTGGGGCAAGTGGGGAGTCAAAGATGTGACCTGGTAGCTCATGGTAGCTAATGTAGCCTAAGTAGTTAGTGACCTAACAATTTCTGGTTCCTAACGAGCAGAAGTGAGGCTTTCAGACAGTTTTCAGCCATAATTGCCTCTTTTTATACCCTCTTTTATTGTGCTCAGCTCTTGTGCTGCTTTTCCTTGTAGTAATGTTTAGAAATCATGTCTGTACATGTTCTCCTTGAAGTGTCTTGGGGTAACCAGTTCTGTGTTTTTTTGTGACGACTAAGAAATGATTGCATGCTGCCATATTTCTGCCATGGCGATTTGCAACCGCTGCACTCTTGGCATCTTCCAGCTGCTAGAGCTAACACTCCACCACGTCGCCTTTGAGCAGCCCTCGCTCAGCCTGCAGAACACCTTTATTGGGCTTGCACAAGGGGTGGGGGAGGAGTCCTTTTTCTAGAGTCTGCTACTATCCTGTTCATTTATGAGTGGTTTGTACAGTTTGGTTTTCTGTGCATATTCAATTTTTTAAAAATAGATATTACTTTCATACAGTTTAATTAAAAAAGTACATTCAAAGGCTTTTAGTAAAAGCCCTTCTGTCGTCTCCGATTTGCCCAGTTCTCTGTGCCTCCTTAAAATAGGTTACCTGCGAATAGATCTTTTTTTTTGCATATGTATTGCATTTTCCTCTGTTTTACACATTTATTAGTATACAGTTTGCATTGATCTAATTTCTATGTGTACATACTTTTTTGCCAAATCACAAGTTGATAAAAAAAAATTAGTGATTTCAGGAATGTTAAGTGTGAAAAAGGAAATTATTATTATTGTATTTTGACCTTAAGTTATAAGTTATTGGGGCCTGATTTTGGTCTCCACTAGAGTCAACACTCTTCTGAAGAGTGTCAGTTCACTTTATTCATTTATTGGTTTGTAATTGCCCTGAAGCACAAAATGAAATGTTAACATGAATGAATCATTAATTTTCTTTCATTTTTTGAAGCTTGCAATCCGAAGGGCTACTCTAAATAGATCATTTACTCCTGTTTTCTTGGGAAGTGCCTTAAAGAACAAAGGAGTCCAACCTCTTCTAGATGCGGTTCTAGAATATCTCCCAGATCCATCGGAGGTCCCGAATTATGCTGTTCTCAATCAGGAGAAGTAAGTCTTGGCACTTGGATCTTAATTTATGCAAAAACTTCAGACCCTAAGAATGAGTCTTCTAGTCACATTTATAACTTTGTTTCATAATTTGCAAAAATTGATCACAGTTCTAGTTGGGTAACAATTTTGGGATATAGAAAGATGTTTGCTATTCAAGTTCCCTATCATGTTTGTGAGTTAGAAGTACCGTCTGTCTCTCAAGCTTTATATTATTAGAAGATTTTCTCATTTGAGACCAGCTCCTTTTAGCTCTTCTCTCTTTCTCTCTCTCTCTCTCTCTCTCTCACACACACACACACACACACACTCTTTTTTGTTGTCCTGCTAGGAAACAAAGCCAGGGCCTCATGCATGCTAGGCTTGCGCTGTGCCTCTGAACTACATCCCTATCCCAGTCAGAACTAATTTTAAGAAATATTTTTAAGAAATAAACTTTTTTTAAGCTCTTATTTATTATTTTTCTTTCTGTATCAAACCTTTTCAGTTTTTTAGTGTACTCCGGTCCTATTTCTATGTAGAAACTAAGCCCTAAGTACTTAATTCTTACTGATCTCTTTCAGTAAAATTTTATTGTGGGTGAGGTCAGAAATGTCATGTGTGCTTTTTTCTTGGATAATACGCTGATAAAATAAATTTGAAATATTTTACTTCAAAGATTTATATTTATTTTATTTTCAGTGACTCAAAAGAGAAAACCAAAATCTTAATGAACTCCCAAAGGGATAACTCCCACCCATTTGTAGGCCTGGCTTTTAAACTTGAGGTAAGTTGCTTTCTAGTGTATTTAACTTCTGTCAGTAGGAATTTTATTTTCTTTTAGGCTCTATTCCTATCACAAAATGACTCTATACCTCATATGAAAGATTTGGAAAACAGGAAAAGTAGAAAGAACAAATAAGGAATTTCAGAAGTTCTTGGGTTGACAGTCCCGTGTTTTTAGAAGCATTTCCTCTCGTTGTGGTTTAAAATAATAGATTTTTTATGTATCATACTACTTTATAACTTTTGTTTTCATTTAACATCATAATACATATGACCCATGTTTCTATAAATAGTTTAAACATTTAAATTTTTTTTTTTTTGTTTTGTAGATGGACAGAATGACTTTATTTTTATGTGGTGCTGAGGATTGAACCCAGTGCCTCAAACATGCTAGGCTCTACCACTGAGTAACAACCCCAGCCCTTAAAAGTTTAAACATTGGGGCTGGGATTGTGGCTTAGCGGTAGAGCACTCACCTAGTATATGCGAGGCCCTGGGTTTGATCCTCAGCACCACATAAAAATAAATAAATAGAATAAAGATATTGCACCTAACTGCAACTAAAAAAAAAATATAAAAAAAAGAGTTTAAACATTTAAATGGCAACTTAATACTCTTAGATATACTATCATTTGCTTAAAATTTTGTAATTATTGCACATTTTTGTTTCCAGGCTTTCATTGTTGTAAATAACAGTGGGTTTGCTTTTGGGAATCTGTCCTCAGGAACTCATGAAGGGTCATGTGCTAATATTAGCTCTAGTTTGCTCACATCTTTGTTGATAAAATGGAACTCTTAGAAGTAATTGAAAATGCAGGAATTCTAGTTCAACTAATAAATTGAGGTATATCTTTACTGTGAATATTACTCAGACTTTAAAAATTGTGTTTAGATGCATATTTTTTGACATGGAAAGATGTCACCACTGATGGACCAGTATTTTATATATTGTTCTTAAATAAAATCCATGCTTTATTCAAATTTCCTTGGGTTTTGCCTATGTCCCATTTCTATCTCAGTGTCCCATCATGTGTCCTACGTCTCCTTAGGCTTCTCTAGACTGTAACAGCTTCTTAGACTTCTCTGATTTATGACCTTGCTATTTCTGAGACGTGCTAGTCAAATGCTTTGTAGACTGCCCCCCGAGTTTCTTTAGTGATTAGATGGGGGTCATATGTTTATAGGAGGATGACTGCAAAGATAGAGTGTCATTCTTGTCACATCACATTAAGGGCACAGACTGTCACCATGGCTTGTCATTGTCTATGTTAGCTGGGGTAGGGTTTATCAGGTTTCTCTGCTACCAGGTGATTCTTTGCTCTTCTTACTGCACTCTTTAGAAGAAGTCCCTCTCCATTCACACTTTGGGGTGGAAATTACCCTCTACATTTTTAAGAGAATAGAATCTACATAGGGTGGTTGGAATTCGGTATGGGAGACTTGCTCTTCTCCCCCATTTATTTATTTGTTCAGTTGGTCACTTATTTTTATTGGTATGAACTTAATGGATATTTACTTTGTACTTGAAGTTATAATCCCTAATATGTTATTTTTGTTGCTCAGATTGGCCAGGCTTGGCCATAGGGAGCTCTTGCACTTGGCTCCAGTGTCCCCTTCCAGTGTTTTGTTGTGTTGAACACTTCCTGACTTCCTGTCACTGCAGGGTGCTTCAGGCTTGTCTTGTATATTCCATGCCCAGCCCTAAAAGCAGCCATTTCTCCAAGGAGTCCTGTTTCCTTTTTCTGGATAGCAGTATTAGAATCCAAGGCTCAGTGCTAAATGTGTTTTTGTTGGGGTATTGCTTCTGTTCTTAATATTTTTAATGGGGAAAATACTGGATAGGCTGCAAGTGTTAAAAATAGTTTAAGTAATTTTAAATTAAAATGTAACATTGCAGTGAGAAGTTTTCCTAGAAGAGTAATTACTGAATTCAACTTACAAAAAAATCTTAATATTTAATGTATTAGTTTATATTACCAGATTGCTTCAGATTGCTTTCACACTCTCAGAATTTATGGTTATTTCAGTGACTATAGTACAGAGTATTATGATTTTATTGATTTAATTAATGAAAAATCATGTAGTGTTCATCTTGCGCTACTTCCCACTGACAAAGAACTCTCAATGGTATATTTACAATGCAGTTAGATTTTCTCTTTTCTAATTGTCTTTTTGTTTTGTCTATTTTTTTTCTTATTGGAGAAACATGTGTTATTTATACCAGCTTTCTCTAATGAAGTTGATTTTTTAAAAAATAATTAGCAGTTTAAAATTTATAGTCAAATATATCAGTCTTTTTCTTTAGTCATTCTATCATTTTTAACATTAGAAACCCTCTTCTTTGTATATATTTTGTCAGTGTTTACTTTTGTTTCCTTTGCTTTCTTATGGTTTTGTTTTTCCATTGTTGATCCTGCTAGAATTTGGTTCTGGTGTATGTTGTGAGTTAGATTTTAATGTATCTCTTCTGACTCCAAATAGAAACCAGTTGTCTAGTTGCCAGTTTATGAACAATTCTGTTCTTTCTTTTCCACTGATTCATCATGTTTCCTTTATCATCTATTGACAAACATTTAATATTTAAATATTTATATTGTACCTTATGGACTGTTAAGTCTAATTGTTCTGATTCTGTACTTTTTGAGCACTTAGCATTTTTATATTAGTGAAGGTTATTTTCTTTTTACCATAGTTTTGAAAAATTTGTTTTTAACTGAGTGAATTTTTAAATCATTACTCAAATTTTAAAAATCTACAGTGGTGTACACCTATAATCCCAGCAACTAAGGAGGCGAATCAGGAGGATAACAAGTTCAAAGCCAGCCTGGGCAACTTAGATTGTTTCAAAATTTAAAAATGGCTGGAGCTATAGCTCAGTAGTAGAGCACTCTTGATACAATTCCTAGTACCAAAAATCTAAATAATAAACTAAATTTTAAAGATCTGTTTGGATTTTATTGCTATAGTATTAAGCCTGTAAATTAACTTAGTAAAAACTGGCAGCTTTTAAATATGTATTTACTTGGTCAGTGTTAGTGTACTCAGTCCTTTCACAGAATTCTTGTGTTTTTTCCATGTGGTTACCAAAGGCGGCTTTAGATATGTAGTATGCTCCTGCCATTTGTGGTTTTTTAAATTGTTTTTTCAGTAATCATGCCTCATTTCTGTTTCCTGTCTTAGAGTATTAAACTGAACTTAAGAAATAATATTAGAAGGCAAAGGTGTACTTCCTTACATAAACAAATTTCTTTGCTAATAACCTTTATTTCAGAGGAAATATAAAAAGTATTCTGGGTTATGATACCAAAAGGTGGATCAGCAGCAACCATTTAATATCTTTTGTTTTCCAAGCCAGTGTCATGTAATTTGAGATGATAAACTGATATGTATGTAAGATGGGCTACTAAAATTGAAAGTATTTGCAGGTAGCTGAGAAGTTTTTCTCTTGATTTTGACTCTTACGTTTCTCTTTATTCTTCTACCACACCCCATCTTGACTTCTAGGCGGGTCGATTTGGACAGTTAACTTACGTCCGCAATTACCAGGGGTTGCTACAGAAGGGTGACACCATCTACAACACGAGAACCAGAAAGAGAGTGCGAGTGCAGCGGCTAGTGCGCATGCACGCTGACATGATGGAGGCAAGTGAGGGATGTGCACCATCCCTGCGGAAGCAGTCAATTATGCTGGCGCCCCCGCCCTGTTAGGAAACAACCTCTGGTTGAATACACGCATCTTCCTTGCATGTGCTATCTCTGAAGGAGTGTGCTGCTGTAAGCCAGATAGGCAGGTGTGGGGCTTGTTGCCTGCCACTGGTTGTGAGTTTCTTCCATGGCCAGGTTGCAGTGAAAGGACAGGTTGTTCCCTAGGACTCCACACAAGGTGCAGCACTCTCCTCATGAGCAGCAGTGAGTGTACTAGGTAGGCATTTAGGACAGCAGAATGTAGTTGCACATTCATGTGATTTTCCACATGGTTCAGTATGTTCACTTTCTGAAATGTGGTGGTATGAAAGACCTGTTTAACCTTAGAGCTTTCAGTCTTGTTGTAGATCCCCTTGCAGGGCCATGTGGTCAAATCTGCTCAGGGTCCAGTCTGGGTCATTGACTTTGGGCTTGAGTTGGCTCTGAATCTGTGCTAGTCTTCTTAGTCCTTCTGGTTAGGGCTTGGCAGAAACCCCGAGTACATGAGGTTGCACCCACTCCCACTCTTCCACCGTCCAGCCCTGTGTTCCTGGAGAAATTCTTCAGTCTAAGCAAAATCTTAGGAATTTTGGGGGAGGGGCCATGACTTTTATCTCTCTTGGGAAGAGGAATAGGCTGACTTGAAGTCGGAAATCTCTGCTGCTTTGTGAGATAGGCAGCAGGGGGCAGGCTGGGAGGATGAGTGCTTGTCATAGCCTTTTCAAGAAAATACATACCCCTCTGTAGTCATCAAAGCAAGACGCAAGGCTGCATCACCACTCCATAGCTGTTGTGTATGACTGTCAATCTCAGAGGAAATTGCTAGGAAGCGTGGCAGCTGGACTTGGTTCTTAGCCTTCCTGTGTTTTTGACTGCTCGCCTCTGTGAGAAATTTAATGTATTTTTAGTATAGTGTGCTCCATTCGCTTCCTTTGTTTGCAAAACTTCCTTTGCAGTTTTTCCTTGTACATGCCTGTTTTTATGATCTCATTGTCTAACTTTGGTAGCACAGATAGTACATGCTTTTTAATTTTTTTTTAATATTGTTAGTTGTAGATGAACACAGTATTATTATTTTGCTTATTTAGTTTTTTTATGTGGTGCTGGGGATCAAACCCAGTGCCGCATGCATGCTAGGCAAGTGCTGTACCACTGAGCCACAACCCCAGCATGTTTTTTAAAAATAACTTTAGAATTGTGAGGCACAGTCACTAATTGAATACTTCAGATCCTTCAGGTGATGAAGCCATAGCTCTGAGTTTTCCATTAGGGGGAAAATCTTGTCTGTTGAGGTGTACTTAAGTAAAGACCCTGTAGAAGCTGTCTTGGCATGATTGGTGGTTGGTGCTGCATGGGTTACTCTCTGCAAAAGGAAGTTCTGCTTTGTTTTTCTGTAGTTTTTCTTGTGCAGTTACTTTGTAGTTGTGTCTTGATTTGTATTGCTTCTTTTCTCAGGATGTTGAGGAAGTGTATGCTGGAGACATCTTTGCCTTGTTTGGCATTGACTGTGCTAGTGGAGACACGTTCACAACCAAAGAGAACAGTGACCTTTCTATGGTAAGCTCTTCCATTTCAAAGCTTTTTATCATTTGCATGCCAGAAGTCTGTGTTTTTTTTGGGGGGGGGCTGGGGATGTGGCTCAAGCGGTAGTGCGCTCGCCTGGCATGTGTGCGGCCCGGGTTCGATCCTCAGCACCACATACAAACAAAGATACTGTGTCTGCCGAGAACTAAAAAATAAATAAATATTTAAAAAAAAAAAAAAAAGAAGTCTGTGTTTTTTAAATTTTTTTTTAGTTGTAGATGGACACAATATCTTTATTTATTTTTATGTGGTGCTAAGGATCGAACCCGTTGCCTCACACGTGCAAGACAGGTGCTCTACCACTGAGCCCCAGCCCCTGTTAAAGGAGGAAATGCTTATTTGGGGGCTCATGGTTTCATCATATTAGTGAACAGCTTTATTAATATATTACATTAATATATTTCCCTTTTTAGCATAAAAACCAACCAAGATATAAATTGTCTGGCTAAAGATGTTGTCTGGTGTTTGTCCTTTTGTATTGTAGCACATTAAATGAATCCATCCTGTACTGTTTAATACAGTTTTTGAATTTTTCTCTGTTCTTTTAAAAAATATTTTAGGAGTCAATTCATGTTCCTGATCCTGTCATTTCAATAGCAATGAAGCCTTCTAACAAGGTAGGAGTTTGATTTAAAGTTCATTATATCACAATAAAAACTTGAGATCTTTTTTTAATCTGTACTGGAATACACATTGTATCTTGTGATAAACAGCAGTCCTAATGGTCTGTTTCCTCTTTTGGTATTAAGATTTTCTTTTTAAATTTATCAGTGTGATGGCAATAATTCCTCAGTATTTTTTAAGAAAATGGTGGTATTTTAATACTCACCAGACTATTTTATAGCTCTTTATTATGTCATAGTGGTTGATGTTCCTTCTTGCATTCTTAAAATATGTAAAAATGGGAAATAAGAATATTTGTCCTGAGTTTTAGTGAAACCCATTGTAAAGTACGTGTGCATGTTGGGTAGATGTTTTAGTCAGCTTTTTCACTGCTGTGACCAAAAGAACTAAAAAGAACAGTTAAAGGAGGAAATGTTATTTGGGGGCTCAAGGTTTCATAGGTCTCAGTACATAGACTGAGACCATACTTCACCTGTTTGAGAAATCATGAGGTTTTCTAGTTCTTTTCTCAGTGTAGAAAAGAGAAAGTAGAGGAGGCAAGAAACATGAAATGGTTGCCTATTCCCAGAGACTCCAGGAGGTGCAGCCTTTCCTCCTTCCTAGTAAATGTCATAATTTGTTCCAGGTGTTTTGCTGAGATTGTCAAAATTTCCCTTTGGAAAAGCGAGGTTAGAAATGAAACATATTATGCGTTTTCATCCCAAAGTCCAGAGTTTATGTAAAACATTTGACCGGATAATTCAAATGCATCCATAATCCAAAAATTTTTTGGTTTTTTTGGAGTTGTTTATATGTTTAAAAGTTGGAAAAGTGTCTGCTTGCTGGAGTAAATTATTTCAAACCAAATAATGAAGTGTCTGCATTAAGCCATGAGACATCGTCGGTAGGAAGTGGGTAGGGGGCACAGACAGTGCAGCAAAGATGTTTCCACTGTGCTGAGAGTATTTGGCTGGTGCAGGGAAAGGCAAGAGACCAACCTGATCCCTAACCTGGGATTTAGTCCCAGTCTTGCCACGAACCTGACCTCTCTGTACATAGTTCCCTCCTCTGTAAAAGATGAATAGTTCTATCTTTCAGCATCAAGGTTAGGTTTAAGATAATGTGCAGAATGCATGCTTCAGCTCCAGGCATGTGGGAAACAGTGGCTGTGAATACTGGCAGTGTGGGGCGTGTTTTCTGTTGCTGTCATAAGAGGTTGCCACAAGCTTAGTAGCTTAAAGTAACACAAATGTACTCTTTACAGTCCTCTAGGTCAGAGACTGACATGTTCTCAGTGGGCTAAGTTAACCAAACAGGGCTGTGTTCTTTTTGGTGTTTCTAGGGTAGAGTATCTTGCCTTGCTTACTCAGGTTGTGGGCAGAATCCAGTTCCTGTGGGTATATTATTGGGGTCTCCATTTCCTCTGTCATCTGAGGACCATTCTTAGCTTCTAGTGACTGCCTACCTTCCTTGACACATGGCTTTCTTTCATCTTTAATGCCTGCAGCAGTGGGTTGAGTCCCTCTTGTGTTTAGCTTTCTGCCTCTTCTTCCATACTTCATCTTACCCACCCTCCTTTCTGCCTTCCTCTTCCATTTTTAAAGGTCTTCATGATTACTTTACTCCACCCAGGTAATTCACAACAATTTCCCTATTGTAAGTTCTGCAACCTTGATCACATCTTCAAAATCCTCTTTGCCATGTGAAGTAACATATTTACAGGTTGGGAGGATTAGGGCATCTTTGCAGATCTGTTATTCTGCTCACCATGTGGAATTACATCAGGGACTAAAGGTGCATTTTACTGTATCCAAGCAGACTATTTTGAAAGGGGGAGTCTCAGTGTGCCGTTCACCTTACTATTGGCCTTAACAGTCAGTCAGTCCTCCTGAATCTATGAGAGAGTCTTGGTAGATATGCTGAGTGTTTTCTTTTGATGTGTAGCATTTCTAAAATGTAACAGAAGTCTCTTTCCACTTAATGAGTAGCTTTACACATATGAAGTTTTTGCAGTGTAATAGGAAAGGGCATAGAGTTAAGTCTTGGACTACTGTTCTCTGTCTTGGCATGAAGAGAGAATCCTATTAGCTGGTTATTCACTGATGTCTGGCTGTGTGGTGTTCAAGCTCATATTTTTTAAAAAAGGCATGGAATAGAGCTAGGTAAGGGTTATCTTTATTTCTTAACTGCTGGCATATTTGATTTCATTCAGTAATGTTCTTTCAAAAAATACCATTGCTCATTGTGCTTTGTAAAACACATGACTTTTCTTCCTTCTTTTAAAGAATGATCTGGAAAAATTTTCAAAAGGTATTGGCAGGTTTACAAGAGAAGATCCCACATTTAAAGTGCACTTTGATAATGAGAGCAAAGAGACTATTGTATCTGGAATGGGAGAATTACACCTGGAAATCTATGCTCAGGTAATGACTAACCAGGAAGTTAAGTGGGGTTATGTAATTACTGTTAAGTCAATAATGCTCAGTATAATGACTGTAAACTCCATGCTTCTCCAAGTTTCACTCTGGTTTGTATCCACATGTGGTGTACAGTTTCTTCCACTGTGTATCAGTTATTTTTTTGCTTTCAGTTGTTCAGTATTGTGGAGTTCTAGAATTGGGGCTGAGAGGATTTGCAACAAGATTATCCATCTACGTCAAAAAATTTCTGGTCCTAGCCTTGGGAGACTACTGGCAGTTGTACCCACTCTTTAGGCCATTTCTTCTCAAGTCCGTGCTTAAAGACCATTGTAGGATAGTTAAAGAATGTTCCTGGGAAAGGTCATACATGTACATGTAAATGAAAGCAAAAGATATGTCACTGGAAATTATGGAGTGACCATTTCTTTGAAGCTGAGGTAGAAAATTCTGACAGAAAAATATGGAATAGTGGTGAGATTTTAGCAGATAAATTAATTGGCAGTAAGTATAAATTAAGCATTAAATATCACATATTTAATCCTTAATGAGACACTGCAGTGATTTAAGATCTGTTATATTTAAGTGAATGCTACTCGGATGTTTAAGCTGCTTAGGATTTTTCTTCAGTTCATTTTAAAAATTTCATTATGCCAAAAAAAATAATCTTCCCCCTCCCTTTTTTTTTTTTTTTTTTTTAAGAGAATGGAAAGAGAATATGGCTGCCCTTGTATCACAGGAAAGCCAAAAGTTGCCTTTCGAGAGACCATTACTGCCCCTGTCCCGTAAGTATGCAATGTAATCATACACTGTGAGAGTGAAACAGTAACTTAATTATGAGATGTACAAAATCATTATTGGTATAAAGACATTTTTATGTAGTAGTATTTTTTATTATGGAATCGGTACAGTTCTATACTGTAAGCATGACATTATATAGAATGGTACTTCAGGATTTGTTTGGCTCCCCCAGGCCAGATTCTAGTGAAGACTGACTTGCACATCATTAATAGACATGTCTGCACTCCATCTCAATGGAAGGGTCTTTTTATTCCAGCTGTGCTTCCTTTGGGAGACGATTGTCATGTTTTACTTTTGTCCCATATTGTGGGTGCCAGAGAACTTGCATTTGCCAGGGGATAATCTCCTAGAAGTAAGGAAAAGTAGTGGTATGATAAATTTTAGAGAACAATTCAGAAGATACAGTGGGTTTAGACTTTGTTGGTGACAACACAGTCTTCATGAGGAATAGCAAAAAGCAGGCTAGATTGCTACAAATATAATCTGTTTCAGCCTAGTCCCTGTCTGAGTCTACACAGATTCCGAGTTAGATATAGAATTAATAAAACCTACTGTGGCTCTGAAAGACATGGAACAGACAAGTGATATTGTACCTGTGATACGATGTCATGAAGCAGGATGATGTAGTCTAGTTCAATGAAGTCATCGTTCCTTTGCTGTGATAAACAAAAGCCTGGTGTTTAAAACTGCAGCTTTAATTTTAAAATGAGCTTTGATTATTAGATGATTATAATATTCCCACTTAGGTTAAAAAAAAAAAAGGTGTCATGATTTATTTCAGTTTAGCCTGACAAAAAGTAGTCTTCTAAATAAGCATTCTGTCAAACTATATTTTAAAGTCATGATTATTCTATTTGTTACTCTAAAAGTTGTTTGTATGTTTTTACCTTCCATGTTATGGTAGCCACTTAGCCTTATTCTGTGTAGCTTATTACTTAAGAACCTTTAGTGTTTCTATTGTTGATAAAATTATCACTTAAGAGAAACCATAGCAATGAATGTTCACATTAAGAAGCCAATTTTACGATAGAGATTCTCTTCTAGAAAATGGGAAATTGTAATATATAATCAGTGTGGTCATCTCATTTTATAATTAAACTTTTGTTCCATACTCTTTATTATTTTGGGAATAAAAAGTATTTATCAGCCACACAGAACTGCTGTGCTTGCACAGTTTAAAACCATCACCAGAGATTTGCTGTGCCATACATGTCTCTGTAAGGCTTAGGAGTGACGTGCTGAGCCAAGCCCTAGAGTCCAAGGTGCAGCACAGCTCCTGGGGCTCCTTTGTTTAAATGTGGTTGTCAGTGTGGCCTAGGGTCAGATAAGAGCATACTCTTCTCTCTTCGTAGTGTCTTCAAGTAATCCTTCCTTTGACAATATCAGCAAAGAATAGTGCATACATAAGGGTTTTTATATGTTGGATCTTAATAAGTAAAGATAGATAATATATAGAAAGTAAAGCTGTGATTAAACCCCTCTGTTGAGATTTTCATTAATACTTTAAAAATCATCATTTGGTGAAGGGTTTCAGGAGTTTGTTGTTTTTGTTTTTTGTCAAACTACCAACATTGTCTTGTACACATATTACTAAAGACTTGGCTTGAAAAATCACAGTAATGATTTTAGGACTCTCTGTACCTGGAGTCAGTTACTGAAGCTTAGGTACCCTTATGGGAATGTTGTAAGCAGGGTTGATGTCTGTGAAATCTGTTTCTCAAAATGTTGTGCTGTGTAGGCTGGGCTTTTGGCATTGACTCTGAGTACTGTAATTGGGCATCTTGCCCTCCAGTGCCCATAGTTGCCTAAAGTGGTTACAAAAGCCTGCAGAGAAAAGGTGCTCCAGCTGCCTCACAGTTTGTCGCCAGCAAGCTGAAACAAGTCAGCAGGGAAGTCCTTTTCTCTCATAGAGCTGACTCAAACTGTTGTGGCTTCTTTGCATTCTGTGTTTCTTGATTCCCATTAGGTTCTAGTTGAAATTTTTCTCTTCTTAACCACTTAATAAAGCTAAAATCAAAGAATTTATTCATAGATTTTTTTTAAGATCTAGAAAGATGTACTTCTTAATAGATGTCATATCAGACGTAAGGAAACATAAGGCTAGCAACAGGATGTGAGGTTGTAAAGTGTGACTAAGTGGGTTATGAAAGAAAACTGCAGCAAGCTCAGGAGCAAGTAGTGGAATTATTTGAGAGGCAGTACAGCAGGCTTCACAGAGACTGCAGTGCTTCTGCTCTTCAAGCTGAGCCTTGGGGAAAAGGCCAGACATATCTCTTAAGTACCAGTGGCACCAGCATTCAGCAGAGAACAAAAGCAGAGTCCAGGATAGTGCACAAGTGATGGGAACATGAATTTTGGTTGCTAAAGGGAATAATGTGTATTGGGTGCCAAACTGTTCTTGAGAGCTCAGCTTCACGTGACTGCCATAGAAGGTGGTTCTGAGAACCTGTGCATAGCACGTTAAAGACAGTCATTGCAAGGATTTGGGTGCCTGGGGTTCTGTCTTGCCTCTACTAATAAAACTCTACAGACCTTTTTGCTCAAGAAGAGGGTTTGAGTGAAGCATCAGAGCTATATTTCAAGCCAACATGAAAGGTGAAGAACCATCACGACTGCGGTGCCTTGGGAAGGTGCAGTCTAAGTACTGCTCATTACGAGACCCTTGACTTTGCCTTGCTGCTGTTATGCTTCCTTGTCAGCATGTGCCCAGGGAATGCAGACTAACCTGGCACTGGGAAGAGGAGCCCAACTTTGGAGGCAAAGGGGGACTGTGGTTTGCGTCTGTTGGCCAACCCAACCACGTGACTGGTTCGGTTGCTGTTCTTTGGATTCTTCCTACAACTCTTTATATTCTCTAGTCAGGATTGACTTCTTCAAAACACCAGCTTCACTATGTTAAATGCAAAATGACTAGAATACTGTCCAACTGTGAATTGCAATACTTTTAGTCAGCATTCATCCTGCCAATAATGTGCTTTATAGAGAGTACTTACCACTTGCTTGACAGTTTGAATTTTGGCCATTTTATAACATGTGTTTTCAGTAGAATTCTGCCATATTATATAACCACAGGCAACCCAGGCTAAGTGCCGAACTGGATTCATTTGTGGAGATACATTTCCGAAACTGTCTGGTGGGGAGACATGAGAAATGTAATTATATCACATATACAGTTCTAACCTTTGAAAAAATCTAGATTTTTTAAGTCTTAGTTTTCTTCAAATTTGTGCAGAAAATAATTAAGCCATGGATCTCTAAAGTTCCAAGGCTTCTTTTTTTTGTTGGCTTCATTGGAAATTAATCTTGTTGTCAAAGCCAGGATATTTCCAACATGGTTAACATCTGACAATTTTGAGCATACAGGTTAATCTTAACATTTTTTTCTATGTCCTATATATACCTGGGATATTTTGTGCTTCTAGTGGTTCCTTTGTGGACTTGAGTCTTTGATAGAATGTGTTATCCTCTTCATCTGGACTCTTCCCAGTTTCTCCTTCAAATGTGAAGGAGACTTCTGGTGCAGTGCCATGTCCCACTGGAGGGTAAAGTACTTCAGCTGTGCAGTTCACTGTGACTTGCTGTTGGAAACATGTTTGCAAAAGATCCGGATGTAGAGATGGCATGCATTACTGATTATTCTGTGAGATGGCTTTAGAGCATCAACCCTAAAGGGGTTTCAGACTTGACCCAGAGTGCCTGATTTCAGAGACATCTAATTGGGCCTATCCTATTCCTTTTCTAAAGTTAACAGGCAAGTACCCTAAAGTGGATTTTTTAATTACAACTTTTAAGTATCACAATCTTACAAATCCTAAACCTAAAGCTTTGAGTATATTTCAGTATTAATGGAGTATCCATTTGTGAGATCAGATTTTAATCTGGATTTATATACCAACCCAACACTGGTTACTTTTTAAGTTTTTCCACTACTCTTAACTTCCTACTCCTGAATAATTTCCTTTCAAACACAGATAAAGCAGTGTGTGTCTAGATATAAAATTAAAAGATTGCAGCACTGAATTATGCTTTGAAAAGCTGTCTTTGTCTAGTAGCTCAAATACTGTTTAATGAATTTCCTTATTAGTCTGTATCTCTTCATAATTAGACTCAAAAAAGAGCAGGGTTTTAAAAATTCCAAGATGGTTATGGTGCAAATTGCAGTTTCTTTTAAATTTTCTAAAATAATTCGACACATGTATAATTATTTAAAATTTCTCTGCCCCACAAAGGGCCTTAGCAGTGGTATCAGTTGGTCACTGTGTTGCTCATGGATACCTGAAAGCACTTGCCTGCCTTCTCTAAATGCTGGCAAAAGGACTGGAAAGTAAATGACTTCACTCAGCCATGTTGGACATAAACTCAGGCTGCCTGTGAGCATGTAACTTCTTAATATATTTGAACTGAAGTATAGTCTGTTTTCTAAATAGTTCAGTAGAAATAATTCAGGATGTATATCAGAATACACAAAGATAGTAAATTTTGGAGTAAGCTTACAAAGCTGGCCCTTGTAAGCTTTGACCATATGACTAGATGGTCAGTGTTTACTAAAGGAGTCAAGGATCTCACAACAATTTAAAAAAAGTAAAAATCTAAAATGCTATAGATTTGATCAACACAGATGATTTTAAATATTCAGAATAACATTTTATTTATACAAAAGGATATTTCACTTACTTTTTTAAAACTTTTTTTGTTGTTGTAGACACAAAGCCTTTACTTTATTTTTATGTGGTGCTGAGGATTGAACCCAGTGCCTCACACATACTAAGCAAATGCTCTGTCAACTGAGCCACCATCCCAGCCCCTTCACTTACTTTTTGTGTCATTTCTTCCACAGAAAATTTAAGGTGGTACTTGTGTCCTCTTCCTGGAATATCCTAAATTTAAGAAAATGTGTAAAAAAGAAAATAAGTCAAATAGTCACATTTTTAGGAAATGCATTCTTCTTTAATGGGGAGAGGAGGGCTGGCTGGTGAGGGGCATGATTAAAGCCATGCATCTTGAGAGAGGCATGTCACCAGTTAACATTTAATTGAGCAGATTCTCTGTCCAGTCTGTTTGGATTAGGACAAGGGTAGAAGAGAAGTATACAAATAAAAAGGGCACAGCTCACTTTTTAATCATCATCAGACTCCAACCCCTAGATCTGTAAAATTTAATTCTCTACATAAATAATTTTCAAAGAGCTTTTAATCTAAAGATGACAAATAGGATATACCTTTTAAAAGACTTTTCATAAAGCCCATGGTGCCCTCCGAGTGTTCAGTGAACATGGATTCCATGTTGAGGCAGATTACTGCAGTGTTTGGAGACTCGCTGTACTTAAGTACTGTTTTAACTTGTGTATTAGTGGCCCTGCAAAATGGTACTTCAACAGTTTTTTTACAGGAGTAAGACAAACATTTAGATACTTGTCAGTCAAGAGACAGATTAGGAGTTTACCCTACTTGTACTATCTGTTGCAGTTTTGGAGTAGAATCTATTCCCTGTCAGCTCTGAAAACCATCAGTGGTTAAAAATTATATCTGATAAATAAAAATGAGGGACTACCCAAATCTAGTAAGGTGGGCATGCTGCAGCCTCGAGCATCCTCCAGTTGCACCCTTCAGCCCGGAGCAGCCCAAAGGCAGCCATGTAATGTGATGGTGGTTACCTCCAAGCTCAGCTCAGAGGCTTTTCTTTTCTGACTTTGGAGGTCAGCTTCTTTTGCTCTTGGTGTTCCCCTTCATTTTGGTCAAAGGGTCTAATAAGGATTGGTCTTACAGTTTAGGCAGTGGAGTCCTTTGGAAGGCAGATTAGCAGATAAGAAACAGTAGCAGTTTTAAGATTTTTTTTGAATGATTCCTATGGTGTCCCCTAGGGAAAGTGTTAAAGTCAGCTGTAATTCCCTATTTCCTTGTCAGGGTGGGCACTGAAATGGTATTGGCGTTTCTCCCTTACCGGGAAGAGAACGAACGAAGGGACTGGAGCTTAGACTACCCCAGGAACGTTAACTTGGGGGCTAGAGGGCCCAGGCCTGCACCCCTGCAGTACCCACCTCCAGGCTCCCTCATCCTGGGTCTGCCCCAGGGACACCTGGCGGTTCCTGCGCAACTCACCCCTCTCGGGACTCGCTCCTCACTACCACTCCAGCGGGTCCCACCTTGCCCACCCGACATCTGGCTGGGTCCTGTTGGACTCACCTCCAAGCGGGCCTCCTCCACCTTCTGCACCAGAAACACCTGGTGGGGGGTTCCGTGCTGGTAGTTGATGCAGCTCTCGGCCACCGAGACCGCCCTGGAGGCTGCGTAGTGTTCTGGCGGAATCTCCATGTTACAGCAGCTGCCTGGACCCAGCTCTGTGCTGCAAGGTTCTGCCTTGCCTTGGCTGGGCTGGGCGGCGCGGGCGCTGCCCTCTACTTCCTCCCCGCTTAGGAGGCTGCCGTGGCCCCGCCCCTTGGCCCCGCCCGCCCAGCGGCTGCCAGGCCTGCGCCGCCTGCAGGCGGGAGGAAGGGAGTTGGGGCTCTAAGGGCTGCGGGGACTTGGTCTCTCCTTAACCCTTAGGCAAACAGGGCTCTCTGGCCTTTGCGTTGCTGGGGCCTCTTAAGTAGTCTGCGTCTAGATATAAAATTAAAAGATTGCAGCACTGAATTATGCTCTGAAAAGCTGTCTTTGTCTAGCACTCAAATACCATTTAATGAATTTCCTTATTAGTCTGCAACTCGTAAGAATTAGACTAAAAAAAGAGACTGTCTGCCTGCTTTTCTTTCAGATTAGAGCACAACTTTCTTAATACAGCAATGCCTTACATAGGGCAGGTTGCAGAGGTGTCACAGGTAGTGTGATTTGCCCCTTCTTTCTCAGTTTTCTGTGGGGTTGGATCAGGTCTAACCAAATTCAAGTATGAGAGACTACAAATTATAGAACTAAATTGGGGACTAAGTAATTTGGTTGGGGGAGGGGGAGATGCACCTGCACTCCACTCCTCCTTTGCTGATCTTAGATGAGGTTTTCGATACAACACCATGCATCTGACTCTAATCACTTTGAAAATTTTGCTCTGAAACATACCTAAAAACTGAACACAACAGACTACATTGAAGTAGCTCTGACAAAAGTGAGGTTTCACAGCTGCTTCAACAGGAGAGCTTTTAGAAGGCAGTGAATTTCCACTATCCAGTTTTTTGAAATTATTCCTTTTGCCACCTTAAAAGATTTGCAGCTTAGGCATTTCTCTGGGTTTGCTGAAGATCAGGAAGTAAGGTTCCTTTTCATCAGGCCTATGGTTAGAACTTCACCTTAATTGGTTGAAATGGAAATAGAGATTCTTTTCTCTTTTACTTAAAAATGGGTTTTTGAAGTTTTATAGCTTCATTAATGGTTAGTACTCAGTCCATCCTCAGACTTGAATAATGTGTAGATTTATGATTCAAAGTAATATTTATGATTCTCTGGGATCAGGTAGATTATACTATAATCTTATGTGACTATATAAGCATAAAACTAAGTAAAAATGGCTGTGGCTTGCAACTTTATTATGACTGTAAAGTCAAAACAAGTCTATAGGTTAGAGATAAACAGCAAAACCAACATAGTTCTAATTTAACATTAATTTAAGTGTGAGGATGAAGTTTTGTCAAAACTACCTTGCCTTTCACAGCGTGCAATGGTCTGACTGCGGGCAGGGCTCTTTTGCTGTCACCATGTCTGTTTAGAGTGTTTCTGTTCTTCAGTGTCTTTACCTAAACTGCTGCAAAATCTTCCTTCATGCAGTGCCTCCTCGTAGGTTTTAAGATGAGTGGTTATCAGTTTATATCATTAGCCTTCTAGAAGAGTACTTGGTTAAGAGCATCCGTTTTGGGTTCAAAGGCCCTGGCTGTGCCTCTTAGTAGCTCTGTCACGTTGGTCAGGTGACTTAGCCTCTCTGATCCTTGGGTTTCTTATCTGTAGAGTGATGATTAAAGAGCACCTGCTTCATGGGTATGTATGTAGTGAAGAACAAGGGGGACCGTCCATGTGCAGTGCTTAACACAGTCCTGCAATGTTGCATGGCTCCGCAGCCTCTCAATCACAAATTCAGACATGGTCCCTGAAACTGTGGGACTCCTCATTTGCAAGTTGGTCCTCCAGAGCGTTGCTGCCCAGTAGATCTCTGGAAATGTTCTGTGTCCCTGACAGTGGCCACCCTCCATGTGGGGCTGTGGAGGGCTTGGGTTGTGACTGGTGCAACTGAGAAGCTGAGTTTTTTTGTTTTATTTAATTGTGATGTGTAAGTAGCTAGGGGTAGTGATCACTGTGCCGACAGTACAGATGGAGAGTGTGTGTTGATGTCCTATCATGTAAAATTGAAGATAAGGCTTAAAATGTCACATAGTAAACTTTATGTCTGTGTGTCAATGTGCTGTGGATTTGGAAATCCCCTCGCAGCTGTTCTATGGTGATTTGGCAGTTGTTTTCCCACTTTCCCTTCAGCCATCCTGAAGGCCCTGACTGCTGGAAGATCATTGAGAGGCGGCTAGTCCGGGTTCTTCATATGTGGACTGTTTAGGAAAGTGGCCTGTTCCAAGCTGGCATCTCCTAGCCAGGCTGATATTTATTCCACCTGTACCCAGAGTACTTCCCCATTCATGTCCACTTATCTGCAGATACTCTTGAAAGTGACCTTTTCCATCCATGGTCTTGAGGAGGGCTTCAGGTTAAGGCAATAAATTGTTTGCAGGCATACTCATGAAGTGTTTTTCCTGTGAAATAGCCTGTGTTTACATATTTTAATATGTATATAAAATCCTTGTTCTACCGTATTTGTGATGCTGTATTTGCCGCAGACGCAGATTTGTGTCTGAAGTGACTTTCGTAACTTATTTATGTTGGTTGCTGTCATTTAGCCATTAATCATTTTCAGGTGTTGATTATTCCATCTGGAATGAATACCCTTATAATCTATATGCCTAAATAGCAAAGTCAGATAGGAATGACCTGAGTAAATCAGCTGTCCACAGTGAGAGACGCAGAAAAGGCTGTGTTCCAGGGAAGGAGGGGTTCCAGAGTGGGCAGCTCCCTGGAATGCAGGCTATTAGAACAAGCGCCTCCAGCTGGACTCTTAATTCCCTTTTTTTTTTTTTTAGTGTGCATTGATTGTATACAGAAAAATATGTTTTTTTTTCCATTTGAATTAGTAGGAGTTAACTCCATTTTGGTAATCATGTAATGCTCTGTTGGTTTTCTGCCTCTTAAATCTCTTCCAGGTTCGAGTTTACCCATAAGAGGCAATCAGGCGGTGCAGGCCAGTTTGGAAAAGTGATAGGTGTGCTGGAGCCTCTAGACCCAGAGAACTACACCAAGTTGGAGTTTTCAGATGAAACGTTTGGGTCAAATGTTCCAAAGCAGTTTGTGCCTGCTGTAGAAAAGGTGCGTTTCACAAAATTGTGTTGTGTTTTCATTTATTAAAATCAGTTCAGTGAGCATGGAATCATAATTCTCTTTTGGTATATTGTCCACCCTGTTCATTTTGGCTGCAGGCCTGCTTCTCTGACTGACTGTTCAGCTTTACTTCTGATGTGAAACTTTCAGCTCACTGAGCTCAAACAATATGGATATGTGCTGTGGCAATGATGGGAAGTCATTTGTTTCTTAATCGTAGTTATCATATTTTTCTTCATAAACGGAAGCTGCTATGTTGCTTGACATCAGCAGTTGACATTTGTTCTGGTCGTTAGGGATTTATGGAATGTTCATGTCCTGTTGTAGTGGAATGACATTAAGATGCTGAACACCTGGGCACCGGGTCATCTTTGCTGCTTGCAGATCAGTGAGCCCCTGGGCTCAGTGTTAGAACCAGTTTTCTAATTTGTAAACTGAGAGTAAAAATACTTGAACCTGCCCCCCTTCACAAAACTGAGATGTTAGACTCTCGCATCCTGGGGAATCATGAGGTGTTCTGCTGTCCAGATCGCCAGATGGGTTCTGAGTGGTTTTGCTTGTTTGTTTTTTAACCTTTTAACTTAAAAATCCTTATTAATGGGCCATTCTTTTGGCTTTAGTGATGGTGGTGGTGTTTTGGTGGGTGGTGTGTACTGTGCACTGCACTCTTATTTCAAGACTGTTCACACACTTCAAGATACATTGTCTGTCTAACATAGGTGAAGGAGAGCTTAGGTATTTTTTATCAAACACAATTCACAGTTTTAAAATGTCAGAAATATACGTATGTGCAGCCATGTGATTGGCTTGACAGGGAAAACTAATTCAATTATAGGAGTTTTATGTGACTAGGTAAAAAAGAATTGCCAGCTTACCAAATTTTACTCTTAAATACGTGTAGCTTATTGTGTATCCATTATATATATCAATGAAACTGGCTTTTTAAAAGGTTGCATTTGGAAAAGTAAAATAACCTTTTAAGGCCACTTCTTACTGGCATGGTCTGACTTCACACTTTGTGTCTTTACAACATAGTGAAGCGCCCTCAAGGCATAGCAGAGATAGGGTGAGTAGGGGCTTCAGACACAGCTGTGAGGTAAACACCAAAGCTGATGCAAGGTTTCTCTTAGGAGGTTCCTTAGATTTGCTCTTCCTCTGTTTCCTCTGTATAAAATCAAGGATCATGCTGTTGCCTCTCCATGGGTTGTGGGTTGAGGGATTCTGGAAGGCGGGGCTGTGAGAAAGTGATTGTTAGCATCCTCTCCAGCTAGCTCACACCTGGAAGTCATATACTTTTCCAAGGGCTTGCTCATCTAGATGCCATAGTACAGACACTTAACGAGTAAATATTTTGATTTAACATTTTTGAGGGATGAAACACGGCATACGTCCTAAGAACAGTGCACTTCTGAACAGGCTAGTGCATCTTTTCATTTGACATTTTTGGTAATGCATCTTGAAGTGAAATCCACTCCTTCCAAAAGTTGTTTTCATTCATTGACAGGGGTTTTTGGATGCCTGTGAGAAGGGCCCTCTTTCTGGTCACAAGCTCTCTGGGCTCCGGTTTGTTCTGCAGGATGGAGCACACCACATGGTCGATTCCAACGAAATCTCTTTCATCAGAGCTGGAGAAGGTGCTCTGAAACAAGGTAAGCTGCCTTCCAGCGCCCACAACCGTGCCGTGTCTGTCCCCTCTGGCAGACCTGCAGGAAGCAATGCTATCCTTAGTCTTTCCACCCAGACACTACATACCACAACCAAGGGATGCGGTAGGTAATGGACAAATATTTATAGAATTGAGTTGACGTGAGGGTTGATTACCGCATTCAAAGCCTACCTAATTCTTCTAAATCATCTGGGTTTTTTCCACGTTTGAATTCATCAATAATCAAGTTCTATTTTTAAAGAGAAGACAAGTGCTCACAATTCTAAGAAATGTTTTAAAAATATTTTAATTATAGACTATTTTTGTTGATTTATTTAATTGTCAAGAAGTTCATAAGTTTGTAAGTTTATTTTTCTTATATCACATTACAAGCAAGGCTTTTAGGCATTTTAAGGATAGCAGAAGATTTCGAAAGAACTCAGTAAACCTTATTCACAATGCAAACTTCTTGTTAAACTGCTAAAATTATCCACCTTTTCCAGAGAATAATACATGTATTAAAACTGATGAACTAGAATCCTCAGCAAGAAGAAAGCAAATGATAACATAGCAGTTTGTTTTCAAGGTTATTCAACAAAGGAACTTTAAAAAAAAAAAGTTTTTGTTCTTCTTAGATATACATGACAATAGAGTATATTTTGACATACATACAGGAGGTATAATTTCTCATTCTTATAGTTGTACATGATGTGGAGTTTCACTGGTCATGTATTCATATATGAACATAGGAAAGTTATGTCCAGTTTGTTCCACTGTCTTTACTAATTCCATACCTTCTCCCTTCCCTTCCTTTCCTTCCCTTCATTCTCCTTTATCTAATCCAGTGAACTTCTGTTCTTCCCTCTCCCCTCTTTACTGTGTGTTAGCATCCATATATCAGAGAGAACTTTTGGCCTTTGGGTTTTCTTGGGATTGTTATTTCACTTAGCATGATAGTCTCCAGTTCCATCCAGTTACTAGCAAATGCCGTAATTTCATTTTTCTTTATGGCTGAGTAATATTCCATTGTATATACATACCATTTTTTTTTTTATCCATTCATCTGTTGAAGGGCATCTAGGTTGGTTCAATAGCTTAGCTATTGTGAATTGAGCTGCTCTAAACATTGATGTGGCTGCATCACTATAGCATGCTGATTTTAAGTCCTCTGGGTATGTGCCAAAGAGTGGGTTCACTGGGTCAAATGCTGGTTCCATTCCAAGTTTTCTGAGGAATCTCTATACTGCTTTCCAGAGTGTCAACAAAGGAACTTTGAAATTATGTCCTTGAGCCAGAAAATTCATTCTCTGTTCTGTTTCTTCCATTGCCATTATTTGGTAATTCATTAGTAATGTCCAGATGTGTCTTCACACAGGAAAATTGTGATTCACAAAATGTCAAATATTTTCATCAAAGATGATTGAAATGGACAATAGAGAGTTAGTCACAGTCCCATTCCCTAAACAGTCTGTAAGTCAGGATCTGATTGGTTCTGTATGAATTTTGGATTGTATGATGCCTTTGGCTCAGTTTGCATCTGTGATCAGGTGTGGGGCTGAGGCTGGAGAAGGTTGCTCATTCCTTATTGTTCTTCACTTATATAGGAGCCTTTAGAAATTTATGTTCCAGTGTCCCATTGTAAAATTGAAAAAGGGCTCTCCATTTCCTTCATATAATCTCTCTATTAAAAATGCCTCTGCAGTCTGTATTATAGAAATTTGGTACAATCTCAAGATTGTGTCAGATGGAAACAGGAAAAATCACAAAAAAATTGGATTTATTAAGTATGACTCCTATTAAAATGCCTCTAAGTCTTGACCACTTTAATAAGCCTTCAACTGACAAGTTAGTTAAAACTTTTATATGTTTTAGAAATACAGTGAAAACAAACATGTGTACTGTGGAGGCTCTTACTGGGTCATGGTGGCTTTCCTGGTAGGAGTAGCTTCAGAAAGCCAGATGGTAGTTAAGAACACCATTCTTGTTACCTGCTTCTATGTTTAAATATAATAAGTACGTGTTTATGTCATGATATGCATGTATATCCATGGAAAACCTTGACATTAAACATGATTGCCATCTAGTAGAGGTGCAGAGGAAAACACTGAATTACAGATGCTTCGAGAGGCTTTATTTCCTCCCAGGTTGTGCAGGTGAGCAGGGGCCAGCATGAAAAACAAATGGCTTTGGTATTTCTTCATCTGACCCTGTTTCTCCATGATTGAAAGATAAAAGTGTTTGAAACATCACATTTTACCCCATAATTATTATTTGTCAACTAAAGTTAAATAAAATTTAAACATTGGCATAGAATAAAAATTAAAATAGACTTACATTCCTAAAAGAGATAAAAATGTAAAATATCAGTTATGAGGAAATTCTTCCCAAATTTTGTAACAGAAACCAACTTTTTAACACATACCTCTGTTGAATGCCATATCAGAGTTTCCATGTGAAAACATTAGTAAGTGAGCTTAATATAAGAATAGTGTTTGCTTATAAGTTATTGTTATATGATGGCAAAGTGTAATACATTTTATGTATTAAGATTAGAAGAAAAACAGTTTGGATTTTCACGTATTCTGGTCTGACTCAGATTTTAAACTTCGTCCTGAGATTAAGCAATGATGTAACTGAAATCTGAAGTGTGAAATGGGATGTTCAGTTTGGCCCTATTTCTCCCTATTGATGTGACCATTGCCATCATTTTGTGGCCAGTTTTTTTTCCTTCTCTAAAAGAAGCCCTGAACCTGTAGCTACTTTGCAAGAGAAATAAAGGCCCAGCCAAGTCACATTGCCAGCTCATTTGATACCACGGTGTCCTGCTCTTGTCCATTGCTCACCAGCTGTGAGTTTGAATCTTATCTACTGTGTGGCATTGGGCACATCATCTGAGCTTCGCCAGCCTGCTGGGTGGTGAAAATTCCCAAATATTAAATGGGATGAACTTAAAAATATCAATGTACATATTTGGGCATAGTGAATGCCAGGTCCTTTCCCTGTCATACTGCTTTTGACCTAGTATTGTGCCTTACCACCCATTCCCCAACTGGTTGTCTCCAGAGTGGCCATAATAACAGTGATAGCTTACTTAGCTTACTGTGCTGTGGATTATGTGAAGTACATGAATTAGGAAGGTGAATGGCCACATATCACAGTGATCTCATAGCTGAGAAGGTTGCGACTCAGAGCAGTTAGTTGAAGACCCAGGCTTACATGCTGGTTAGTGGTGGAGCTTAAAGTTAAACCCGGGCCACACTGCCTGCTCACACAGCTGCATTAGCACTGGTCTGGCATTATGGATGATCACAAGTGGGTTGAAGTGGAGACATGACCATCTCTATCCACCACTTTGGTTTAAAAGGTCCTATGATAACATTAGTATTTTGACCCCATACTGTAAGAAGCTGCAGACCACGTGAACCTGCTTTTAGGACTTCGCTGCCATGTGGCTTTTGAAAACTGATAGGGTGATATTAGCTCTGGAGTCTTTTGATACAGGGCTAAAGGAAGGCAGAAGGGCAAGGTTCAGTTGAAAATGAATCAGGAGATGGATTTGGGACACAACAGGAAGTTAAATGGAAGGAACAGGGTGAAAGAATATGAGCAGAACTGGACAGGCCACCCTCAACAGTTGGGTGATGGGCACTGAACATGGCCCTTTCCTTCAAAATGTAACCCTTGACAGTCTATTCTTTCTACATTACTGACCTGTTGAAATGGAGGGCAGTGTGTAATTCAGTCTGGACAGCTGCTCACTGCTCTTGTTCTGAGCGCCTTTTCTGTATTAATTATGTGTCTTCAGAGCCAGGGAGATGCTACTGTTTTGCTAACCAAAGAAAATATGAAAATGAAGCTGTGCCTGCAGCCTGGGGTTCTCCGTCTGATTCAGGTGTCTGTGGGGTTTGTCGGAGCCAAGCTAGTGTAACTTGTCAGTTGGTAATATTTTTGTGAGTTCAGGCATTCCTCTTTTCACAAGAAAATTCACTAATTGAGACTATTAGTCAAAGGTAGTTTTGAGCTAGAAAATGATTTTAAGTTAATATTTCTAAGAAATATGAAATCTGCCAGCCACCTGTATCCATGGGTTCTGTATCTGTGGAGTCAACAAACCACAGATTGAAAAAAACTTTCAGAAAATAATTCTAGAAAGCTGAAAAAGGACAACTTGAGTTTGCTTTGTGTTTAGTTTTAGTACTGTGCCGGATCCAGGTGGGTGAGTCCCAGGTGGGCTGTGTGCTCCCACTGTTTGACAGCCCTCAGCCTCCCAGCTCCAGCATCATTTGTCCCAGGTTTTGTTCCTGTACTATGCAGCCAGGCCTGGGATGCTCGAGCTGCTCTGAACAAAGGTACACGCTTTCCCTGTCTGCTCCCTACACGGTACCGTGGATTAGTGGTATGTGCTGGGTGTTGTAAGTCATGTAGAGGTGATTGAGCAATAGTGAGAGGATGTGCTCCGGTGGCGTGCAGATACCAGCCATCTGTGGATTCGCGAATCGTTGGGGTCAGGGTGTCAGTACCCCCCCAACACCAAGGAGAGCTGTGTGTTGCATTCTGTTCTTGTGGTTACTGCACTTAAACAAGGGGTGTCTTTGTTTTATTTTTTTTGCGGTGCTCGGATTGTTTGGAATCCAGGACCTTGGTCATGCTAGGCAAGTGTTCTACCAGAGCCACATCCTGTCCCTAAGACAAATGGGGGAAGGAGCACTAATGAGAAACCAGCCTCTACCTCAGAGCAAAGCCTGTTCAAAGAAGGGGGCATGACCTTTGTCCTTAGAAAAACTGACAGAGCACTCCTAGGCACATACCCACCTTGCCGAGTTGTTTATCTACAAATAACAGGAGAGATCTGTGGAGCCAGGTGTCCCTGACTCAGTCAGGCTAGATGAGGACCCATAGCAACCACCAATTAGCATGAGACAGGGAAATACCTGGGATGCCAGGTGACCCTCCCAGTAGTTTATGGTGGTTGATAACATGTTGGGAAACTGTGTAGTTCAGCATGTACTCCCCTCGTGGCTTAAACCTATCAGTTCAAACGAATCCCCCTCTTGTACTAACCAATCACCCTTACCCAACTTGTTCCCGCCAGTGAATGTGCTAATCATGTTTTAGAGTTGTTTTATGATTTTCCCACGGTGTGTGATGATTTGCTAAGAGATGCTATGATGTATGTGAAGTCCCTGCCTTCCCCAAAGAGTGTATAAAACTGCTGCAAACCCTGGGCTCGGGGCCTCTCAGCATCACCAGTTGCTGTGTGCGCATGGAGGACCGAGCTAGCTCGCAATAAACGCCTCTTTGCTGTTTACATCGATCTTGGTCTCTGGTGGTCCTGTGTTAATGAATTTATAAGAATGATTTGCTAGTTAAATCAATTCTTTTGGAAAAGTTTTTAAAACTTTAATTTTAAAACAAAACACTTTCTTTGTCAACTTTTCTATCTTGCTTAAAGCCTTATTTGGACGTCATGTAGCCAATCAGGCTACAACATTATTCTGCACTAGCATAACTTCCAAAGTAAGTATAAATATTTGAAGTTTTTTTATACTTTTATCCATATTATATTTAAACATCAGTCAGCATTTGTAACTGTAAGAAGTATTCTGATTATCTATCAAATGGGATAAAAAACAAATACACATTTTTACTACTGGAATGGTTCTTAACATCTAGCCTAGGATCTTTATTTTGTCTGTGAAGAAGCATAAGACCCGAGCAGACTGTTTTTACAGAAGGCATATAGACTTGTTTGAGGTAGAGCAGAAGCTGTAAACGTGTACTTCTGATTCTCAATCAGGTGGTGGAATCATTTAGCCTAGAAAAAGAAAGAGGTGAGGCTTGACTTGATTGTTATCCTAAGCATATGGGGGACACAGTCTGCACCCTCTCCCACCCTGCGATAACTACTCTTTTCTTTTTTTTTTTTTTAATGGTTTTTTGTTTGTTTGTTTTTTAGTTGTAGTTGGACATAATACCTTCATCTCACTTATTTATTTTCATGTGGTGCTGAGGATCGAACCCAGGGTCTCCAGAGTGCGAGGCGAGTGCTCTACCACTGAGCCACAACCCCAGCCCCAACTGCTCTTTTCTTACAGTAAAAAATAATGTCTGCCAGGAACAAACAAGAAGGCTTGGGTTTTCTTTGGTTAGAGACTTACCAATTCATGTCTTTATCCCTGAAGATCTCCAGAGAAATGAGCAACGGGATAATTTACCTGGTATAAAGCATTTGATAAATGAGTTTTAAGAATAAAAATACTGTAATGGAAACTCTAATACTAGAATTAAACGTTGTCTTATTGGAATTTCCACACAGAAAAATGACTTATTGCTACCAGAAAAATGAGTCCAGACCAGATACTTGAAGCACATCATTTGTGTGTGTGTCCCTCCTCTTTCGTGAAGCTGGAAAGGGAAGAGTGTCCAGTTTGTTTAATTGCTAATACACTTGATTTTGTTTGTTTGTTTAACAGCCTTGGCAAATGCAACATTGTGTATTCTTGAACCTGTTATGTCTGTGGAAGTCATAGCCCCAAATGAATTTCAGGGACCAGTAATTGCAGGAATTAACCGGCGGCATGGAGTAATCACAGGGCAAGACGGAATTGAGGACTATTTTACACTGTATGCGGATGTAAGTACTATTGATTATTGATAGTCTTGCCTTTTTTACCCACAGAAAGAAGTCATTTAGCTTTGGTTTTTTGAGATTATAGAGCAAATTTACACATTTCTGTATTGAAATCTTGCCTATATATATATCTGGGAATTTCTGTAATCTGTTGCTAGAGAAATTCTTAAGTGCAGAAGCAAAAATAAGATGCATTCACCTTGGCCAGGCCAATGCCTGGTTTTTAGGTGTAGATTTTTTCCCTCCTTTTAGCTTTATTTGAATAGCTGCTTTATGATATGCTCTCTAGCTTGTTGGGGTAACATTAATTCCCTTGCCTCTCTGTCTTGATTTAAGTCTGGAGAGGAATACTTGACATATTTCCAAAGCCCCTGTATTATACTGCCACCAGCACACGACATACCAGGAGCCAACCCAGGGCTGAGTGTGGCTCAGTGCTGGGGCTTGCCCAGCACAGATGAGGCCTCATCCACTCCCCAGCACCACAGAAGGAACACAGCCAGCATCCAGCAGAAATTTATATTAACATTTCCACAGAAGGATCACTTCTGAGTGATTGAGCCGGGGACAGGGTGGAGTGAGATGAGGAAGGAAAGGCCATCAGTGGTGTCTGTTCTGTGAAACTAGAAATTGGCTTCCAGCTGTGACCAGGAAGTGAAACAATTTTCAAATAGGGTTTCCACCTGGAATAAGGCAAAAGGGTTTTCTTTTGGCTTTTAAGTCTTTTAAACCAAAAGAAGTGAGTTGAAATCCAAATTTAAGGTATTAAGTAGCCAATATGTCTCTGTATTTTTCTCAGGTATTTTTTAGCAAGCAATGCTAATAACATCTATCGTTTGTTTTTAGGTCCCTCTGAATGATATGTTTGGTTATTCCACTGAACTTAGGTCTTGCACAGAGGTAAGCAAGTGTTTATCTTTACCACAGTCCTCTTCAAAAGATCATCCTACACAGTGATGAGATTTATGAGATTCTGGCTTTACATGATTCCATAGTTGTTAAAAAAAAGTCTCTCTGTTCTGTCTCTCTGCCTTTTAAATTCCTAGGGAAAAGGAGAATACACCATGGAATATTGCAGATACCAGCCATGTTTACCTTCCACACAGGAAGACCTCATTAATAAGCACTTGGAAGCAACAGGTCAACTTCCTGTAAAAAAAGGAAAAGCCAAGAACTGACTTTCCTTGTTGTGAGTTTAGTAACTTTAAGTGAATATGCAAGACTTAGATATGATGAATTCCAGCAGAGTGAAATCAGGTTGTTGAAACAAGTTTTAGAAGCACTTCCTATTTTACATTCAGGAGCTTCTATTACATATATTCTAAGATAATTCTATGTATGTCTCAACTCTGTTGGTTGGTTTTGTAGTTCATTGAAAAATCAAATAAAATATTCCTGAAATATACTTAATATTTATTTAAGGGAGAAAGGGATTAATTTCAATTATGCTCCTAAACTTAGAATAGGTGTATAAACCTCCTTTCCATATTTGCTTTTTCATGAGAATTTTCAACATATGGAAAAGTTGGAATTGGAACAGCCATGTACCTTCCATCTAGATTCGGCAATGGGCAATGGACACTTTTGTTAACAGTTTGTTTGTCAAACAATAATTTTATTGTCTGTGTCTCCTACATTGAATTTTTAAGTTATTTTGCTGAAGACTTGCAAGTGAATTTTGTACATTATAATGTTTGATAATGTCATTAATGGGCAGGCCATCCTGTTTAAGAGGGCATGTCATATGTCCCTGCTAGGGAACAGCTGATTCATATATGGCTGATTGCTTCAGTTTATGGATTCTGCACATTTGTAACTGCCTCTGTTTTAGGAGTACATATGTTACTTGCAGTCCTCTCTGAAGTAAAATAGACCTTCACATGTGCTGTTCTGGATTGTGTTCGCCTAAATGTTTCTGTAGCCCTAAATAATAAAGTATGATTTACAGAATTGTTGCCCTGTCAGTTCACTCACCTAGTAAACGCTAATTGAATTTTGAGTCTACTAGAATTTGTCACATATTCATTGAGATTGTGAGAGAACAAACATTTCAGCTTTGGTTTCCACAATAAGTTAGGTTTTCCCAGGCAGTTCACCATACTATCCCAAATTTCTTAATCCAAAAATTATCTTATACTATACACATCTCCTAGTCTTTTTCCTTACTGGATTATAGAAATGAAATAACTGATTTTAAGTGCTTTTGGTTTTTTTGATTTATAGATTGGACTGTATAATTTAAGATTTCTAGGTTGAAAAAAAAAGGATTAAATATTGAGCACATGTTTTCAAGACATTTGCTGAGTAGTTTGTTAAATGAATTACCTAATTTAATTCTCTCAACCCCATGAGAGAGTTTTTTTTTGCAATAGAGAAAATGAAGGTAAATTTTTGCAAGCCCACACAGCTCATTAAGTGTTAAAATGTATACTTTGGTTGCTGTTGAGGAAGCACATTCCCCACGAACATGTGTTTCTTCAGTGGCATCAGGCCTGGAAAACATGGTTGCTGAGGCATTTGGTCAGCACCTTGAACCCTTCTTGATGATTTTGAATACTGTTCTGCGTGAGCCAATACACAAGTTATAGCAGGGTACATCTGGCCATTAAGAATATCAGAAAGATGGGTAAATTTGGATACATCCTTAATTTGTTAAATATTCTGGTTATAAAGTTGCAGTGTCAAAAAGGACTCTAGGTATCTAATGTATCACCAACATATCATAGGCAGTGACACCGTCCCAGCTTAGGGGAATGTCTTGAACAGCACCCTGTGGAGACAGCTCCAGGACCAGAACCCACAGTCCCTGCTAACTCATTAGCTTAGTGGTAGTTAGTAAACACTACATGCCAACCAAAGTGAGAAGAATGGGAAAGATTAATGAGAGTATTCATAAATGAGAGCTGCTATATTACTCTTGTGAAGGTAACTGCTGCCTGACTTAAGGAAAGACAGCACTGCTGTGTCAGCTGGTAGGCACAGACGAGGAGGTACTGCACGGGTGCCCAGGCCTGACTGCACCCTAAAATCACCGGGGAGCTTAAAGCTAAATACTCTGAAACTTTTCTAGATGATTCCAAAATGCATTCAATGCTGAAGATAACTCTAGAATGGTCTGCACTTACACCCAAGACAGGAAATGAAAGATGTTTGCAATTCAGATGTGACATATTATTAATATTCTTTTGTGTGATATAAGAATTTAGACTATTGGTTCACCATTTGATAATTTTAAGACTTTTTTTTTTTTTTCCTGTTACTCATTTCCTCACTGCTTATTCTTAGACTGTGTAGTTTGCAAAATCACTAAAATTGAATCAGTTCTGAAGTTTGGGATTTTTCATGTTTTAGAAATTGGAGTGAGTCTTAAATTTGGCAGTCCCAGAAAGGAGTAAGCTGAGACATTCTGGGATGTAGTCCATTTGCATTGCTGGCACTACAGATTGTTGAATTGAAGCTTAAATTGCTGCTCACCTATTTCAGATAAATAGCACTATAATGCATCATTGAAATCAGTTAATTGTGTTCACAGGAAACTTAGGTGAGCATTCACTCATTTATCCATTCAAATAAGTGCTAGAGAGCATGAGATGATTTTTGTACTCCGAAAGCTAGAAAGGTCACAGAACAGGTCAGAATTTTCTAATCTGGGAAAAATGGGCATGATAAACTAAGATGTAGATGTCCAAGTGCAAAATACAAAGCCTCCCTTGACTTTCAGAAGAACTTGTTAGCAAGTTGTCACTTGTAACGACTGATGCTTCCGGTGGGAAAACTGAAACCTAGTGGGATAAAGTAGAGTACAGGGAAAGTCCTGGCTCCATTTTGCATGTCTTTAAGTTTTTGAAAATTATGAAGAATTCAGACAAGTGAATGTGGTGTTGGATGGTATTATCATTGGCATCAGGGCTTCACACTCATAAGGAAAGACAGCTTAGGGTACTTAGGTTTTCATTTTATGCCAAACCAAATGCAGTAATTTTTCTCTGTAGTTAGCTAGTAAAATCAGTTAGAAAAATCAAGTCAGCAGTTTTAGAGTTTGTGCCAGAAAGAATAGTCTAATGATGATAGTGAGAAAATTTTTAGTTGGTTTAGCTTTCATAAGTTTTGTAAATGAGGTAATTGTGTTTGTATGTTGTTTGCCTGTGTGATTCCCCTTCATAATTGTTACACCAAAGCAGAGTCTATTCGAGGGTTACCTTAGAATCCTTCCCTGGTTGAATTATGGTCACATTTGCGAGATTGATCTCACTAATGGAAATTCCCCTTTGCCAGTGAAGACCTGGAGAAAGCCGACACACCACTGATTTCCCCCTTTCTAGTCCCTAATGCGATACTAAAAGAAGTTGAAGATCACAGGACATGGAGTATGCTATAATGATGTTGTATTTTTACCGTGGGATGACCCAAGTGCACTTAATCACTGAGCCATATCCCCGGCTCTTTTTTTTTTTTTTTAGCGACAGGGTCTTGCCCCACTAAGTTGCTGAGGCTGGCTTTGAACTCACAATCCTACTGCCTTGACCGCTGGGGTTGCAGGCAGGCGCCACCACACCTGGCAAAATAATGCTCTTGAGAGCTACTTTTGAAGATGATTTAGGGAAAGAACTTTGGTTAGAGAAGTTTCTCTCTTGATTTTTGGCGTGATTAAACATTGTAGATTGTTTTTATATTTTCAAAGAAGTACTTCTTTTTTTTTATTGCATAGGTCGGGAGGGCCCGAGTTGCCTTTAAGTGACCGCATACAGTGCTTCAGAGTACTTAGAACGCTTTAAAACAGTTGGATCTGGGGAAGGTAAATGCAAAGTTGGGGTTTTAAATAGAAAAACACATAAATTAGATCCGATTATCTTTATGAGAGTCCTTATCTTTTTTTGTCTTTTATATCAGTTTTTCCAGTTATCCAATAGTGCAGACTAATAGACCACTCTGACTGAGCGGGTTCGACTTGGGGTTTTTCAACTTCATAGTGGTGTGAAAGTGATATGCCCTGGAGAGAAGCCATACGTAGAATTCTGATCTTCCCCCAAGCTGGCAGTGGGCATGTGCTCACCCCCTTGAAATGCTGGGTGGTACAGGAGCCGGCACTACAGGGTATAGTGTTGCTAAGCCAGGGTGTTTGGTAGGTTAGGTGTATTAAACACATTTTAAACCTGTGGTGTTTTCAATTTACAATGGAGTTTTCAATGTAAAAACCCCATTGTGAGTCAAGTTGTGTATGTATTTTATTATAATTTAAGGTTGATGCTTCCTAATCAATTATTGAGTGAGGAACCTGGCCTAAGGTTCTAGACACTGATAGAAGTGTTCCATTACATTATAATAATTCATAGAGGCAATGATGGTAATATTTCCTGGGTCAGTTCTTTCTGCCTCGGGCAGGTACTCCACTGAATTTGATTATGGTACATGTTGTTTGCTTTTATAAATTACTTAGGCCAACTCTGGATCCAGATTGTCCTTGTAAATGAAGATTGTTAATGTTTGGTATACTTTGAGTTAATGTGTATTTGCAGGCAGCCACTTGATCTAGTGAGATATGGTATTATTTAAAATTTGAATCAAGCAATATTAAGGTTTTTATTTAATTTCAGCTTAGCATAAATGTTGCCTATGCATACAAATCTCTGCAAACACATTTAACACATTTTATTATTTAGAACTATGAACATTTATTTAAAAGTAGATGCCAAGTTAAAAAGGAATACTTGCTTGAAGTAACAAAACAGTGGAATTCCTTAAACAGTTATTATTTTCCCTACAGTTTTCTTTGACTGAAAATATACTTGTTGACATACAGGATAGGAGCAATTGTGCAACATAAAATAATTACAGTATATTAAGAAGAGTAAAGAAATGCAAATTCAGAGTTGAAACCATTGTTGTTGTTTTTTTAATAATTATCAGCCTCTGCAGCAGGTACTTATTGCCTGGATTTCACATTCCAGGGCTGAAACTCCAAGGAGCCCGCTAGTGGGTGCCCAGCATGAGCAGAGCTCAGCATGCCCCTGCGGCCCAGAGCTAGACCACACAGGCCAGCTGAGCAGCAGCTGATACATTTGAGTTTTTGCTGATAGTCACAGGCTCCAGAACTAAAGTAATTGTTTAGGCTAGGAAAGTCATTTTGTCTAGAATTTGGTATAATCAGCTTTTTGTTTCTTAGAAATTACTAAATTCTGTTGGTGCCACAGCAGATCCTTCCTCAGTTCCAGAAGAAGCTTCGACTGGGGTTTGCATCTCTTCACACCGGTACTTCACTTTAAGTGGCTTGCCGGGGTACCAGATCAGGTGAATATGGCAGGGAACGATTTCCTAGGACACAGAGTTATAAAATATTAAACCGCACAGAACTTAAGGTAGAAATACTTCTCTGTACAAGCTTGTGTTTTACCTGTGTTGGGAATTCATGCAGCAGGACAGTGTAATCGAAGTCGATTGCGTGATCACTGGTTTTCTGGAGGAAAAAAACAGAGTATAACAGAATGGGGAACTTGGACACACACATTCTTGGTTTGGAGGGGTACCTTTACTCTCTGCAGCCTTAAGATTTGAGCCCTATTTCCTTCATTGCATTCTGTATCAAGGTGTGGGTTCTCCCTTTGGTTTTATCACTGAGTAGCACATAATGCTGGTCGGATGTCTTTATCACTTTTCTTTCTGATACTGTAATTTGGGATGAGGGCCGAGGTCTGTGGGGTAGGCTGGCTCTTGGCAGCACAGCTCCTGTGTGCACTACAAGCTGCTGGGTCAGCCCTGCCACCCCAGGCAGCAGCACAGGGAAAGGCAGCCAGCATTTCTGGAGTGTCTGCCAGGGACCCTGTTCTGTGCCCGGTCCTGTGCTGGGCACTGCGCACACATTCTTGTGTGGTTCTCCATCCCTCCCAGATGACTCTCCCCAAACCACCTTCGTCATGTACCGGAACCCTTTGTAAACCAGAGTATTGGGGCCT